AAAAGTCAAGAAATCAACAAACTAGAAAATACAGGATATGAGTCAAAATATAAAACATTAGACATACACACACACAAATTAGAGAAGGAATCCACAAATGATAAATCTATATCTTCACAAATAATGCTTAAATTCTGTATTTAATGTCAAGATTATGCAAATGTAATTCTAAAAAATGTATTCTATATATCTTTTAAGTCAATCTGTGAAAAATACATTTACAATATTAAAAATTGTAAAACAAAAATTACAAAACAGAAAAACATTGATGTATAAACTCATAAACGCAGAGTCTGCCTCCTCTCTTCCTGTACTCCATCAGCTCAGAACTTGTGTGTGTGTGTCTCTGAAGATGTTGGCACAACAGTCTCCGATTTCCCGTTGAGCCTGAGTCCAATTTCCTCCAGACCGGACATTAGCTAGGAACAGCCTTTTATTTCAAGCTGGGCCAGCACGGCTCTTATCCGGCTCTCTTCCCTCTCCTCCCGGAGCAACAACACAGACTGTGGTGGACTGTTCCGGCCAATCCGACTGTGTCTATCATCTCAAAGTCTGCTGCTCTTTAACCCAAACCCCATGCTTCTGATGACTGTAGGCTATTTCTATTAGAGGTAATATGTCCTCCAGCCGAAAGCCAAAAACAGATTAAAACAAAAACAGAGACGTGTGAAGGAGCTTGACTACTACTAGCAGTACCTACAGGCTCAGCTGTTGTCCAGTCGATTTGAATTAATTGACTCCAAAATCAGGACAGAATGAAGCAATAAGTGAGCAATAAAGGTGTCAGTATAACATCATACAAAAGCTCTTAGAGGAAACAGAGAAGGAATAGAGGTTCCTGAGAAAAAGTCAGACTAACACTTCTTCATGTTCATTCTCTTCAGGCACACATTGCAGCCACGTACATCCTAAAGACCTGGTGAGCGATGGAAACATACTTCATATCAGCTTCTCCTCCAATGACAGGGTGGTGGACACAGGCTTCACTGCCACCTGGAGGGCAGTGGACCCTACAGAGGGTAAGACAGGAGAAAAACGAACTTGACAAGCCATGGAGGGAATAGCTGTCAAGTAAAACTAAAGTATCTCATTGTCTGTTTTTCTCTTCCTTTCCTTTCTCTCTCTCTCTCTCTCTCTCTCTCCCCCCTTATTGTCCACACATACACACACACAGCTCCTTGTGGTGGGAGCTTCAGCACTAATCAGGGTGAAATCACCTCTCCTAACTGGCCCAATGACTACCAAGCCCAGTCTGTGTGCACATGGCGTATCACCATTCCTTCAGCAAAAAGTGTCCATATAGTCTTCACCCACTTTGAATTACAAGCTATAAACCTGTTAGGAAACTGCGTGGACTACGTGGAGATCTTCGGTGGAGAAAGCATGGCATCACTAGGTTGGTTACTGTACTGAAAATTTGTATAAATTTTTTAAAATGTATTTCCTCTACAGTTCAGTGTTATTAGTATAAATATCTTTTATGTCTTGACTGTTCTGCAGGTAAATTCTGTGGCTTCGCCCCTCCACCCAGCATCACCGTCCCTGGCAACACAGTCGTCATTCGTTTCCTTAGTAACGGAAACAATCAACAGAGCGGTTTTCGGGGTTACTGGACCACTGATACCAGTGTTGTCCCAACTTTACCTCCTCCACCTCCTAACCCATGGGACAAAGTCACTATCGGTTAGTGCAGGCCTAGCCAGACTCATAGCAGTCCTGTCTCTGATGTGATTCACAAAAAAAAAACTTTAAATGTTTTTGCTCCCCTCAGATAGAGAATCTATAGGGAGATCACCTGATTTCAAAATTTTAAAGTTTTAATTGAGTCTGCCATTGACGTTGCTTATTTATAGGTAATTTAAAGGCATATTTTCTTTTCCCAGACTGGCCAGTAGATTGTGGAAAACCAGAAGTGACACCCAATACGGCCACTCCGAGGGTGGTTAATGGGCAAGAGGCGATACCCCATTCCTGGCCCTGGCAAGTCTCCATGCAGGTAGAGTCAGCTCCTGTTTGTCTACATGCCTGATTAATAGTCATAGAGACAAACTTTTATTTTGAACACGTTTGTTTCTCTTCCCCAGGCTTCACCATTTTTCCCCATACCTTACATGCATGGTTGCGGAGGCTCTTTGATTCATGAAGAATGGATCCTAACTGCGGCTCACTGTTTCATGGTGTAAGATACAACTACAGAAAGACCTACAGCACATGCAGTTATTAAAGCTCATAGTTCTTTATTATTCACAATGTGAAAGGGGTTGCTCATAGTGAACCAACAGAGAATTATCACCCGAATCTGCAGCTCTCCTCGGCTTAATGTAGCTTTACAACAAGTTTCAGGTCATTGTTTAGCTGTCTGGCCACAACTTCACTGTTTAGTTTACTGTCTTTACGCCATTTTTGGAAACAGCAGGCAGCTGTGTTTAGCTATAAAAACCCACTGTACACTATAAACAGACAAATTTAGCAACTAGCTGGTGAACATAGTGGAGCATTTAGCAGCTAAAGAGTCAGATATTTCCCTCGGGTGTTGGGAAGCACTAAAAACACAGCTAAAAGAAAGTGAATCATATTTTCTAACAGGACTGCCATATCAACTTAAAAGGATATGATATGTAATGTTTCCACTTGGCCCCAAGTGGCCAAAAAAATCACTTATTGCAGCTCTTAGAAACACTTTTCTAAGACCAGTTTGCACAATAGCCAAATGGAAGAGTAAAACAGGTTTCTAATTTTCACCTTCAATCTTCCTCCTTCTTTCCAGCCCACTGAATAAACCCTCGTACTGGCGCATGTGTTTGGGGAAGCACCACATGAACTCTTCCATGGACGTTCCCTCAGTGGAGGAATGCTATAAGGTGGATGGTATAATCCGCCACAAGGGGTTCGTCTACGAGCAGGATCGCACTGACATCACCAATGACATAGCCCTGGTGCATTTGACCAAGCCTGTCAATATGACGAGGGAGATCAGCCCCATCTGTCTGCCCAAACCTGGGACCGTGATGCCTGCTGGGACACCCTGCTTTGTCACCGGCTGGGGAGATGAGAAAGGTAGAAGTGATCATGTATTTACATTTCCTGTAAAAGAACTGTAGTTGTAATGCTACCCCAGAAACTACAGGTACTATTGTGCACTATTTTTAATGTGCTCTATGATGAGTGGGCCTTAGCTTCATTACTAGAGATGAGGAGAGTTTGGAATATATTGGTGTAAATGTGTGCAATAACATAAACTTTTACTTTCCACTTCTTTAGGTAATCTGTTCCCCAAAGTGTCCGAGAAGCTAAATCAGGCAGCCCTTCCTATTGTTGACTTCCAGACCTGCAGTAAACCTGCTTACTGGTGGGACACCCTCAGGCCCTCCATGATCTGTGCTGGCTACGAGTCCCCAGATGAGCTCAAGTCAGCCTGCCAGGTGAGAGGAAAAAATAAAAACTGTTTAAATGGACACACTGGTATTTTTTAGATGAGGATGATACTTGGTTGTCAAAATTCTCTTCAAGCTTTTCTCACACATTACATAACTGTACTGCCTTCTAAGAATGGGTCGTCTTTTATGTAACACCCATGCAAACATGTTTTGTTTGTGATCAGTCAGCCTTGCTTGCAAATGACTGCCCGGTTTTCAGGCGTAATTAGACAAAAGAACATACAAGGGACATTATTTTTTTTAATTTATTTTATTTATTTATTTTTATTTGCCATAATGAGACATGCAGATTAGAAATTTAGAAAAACACTTCAGAACAGTATTGAAGGCTTTTATATTTCAATACAACTTTTTAAAACACAACACCAGCCTTTGCCTCGCTCAAGAAATAATTTTTGATAAAGATTGACCTTTACAGATTCCAGGGCACAGAGATGATTTATAGAGGGTGTCAAAATCAAATGTTCACCAATGCATCTTCTGACCTATACAGTAAATCTTTGTTGGTGACTTCCTCCTCCTGCTCTCCCATAGGGTGACTCCGGGGGTCCTTTTGCCTGCACGGCTGCTGGAACAAACACAACCTGGGAGGTGCACGGTATTGTCAGCTTTGGACCTCAGGGCTGCATCAAAGACAAGAAACCTTCAGTTTTCACCCGCGTCTCTGCCTTCAGTGACTGGATCAGCGACAACATCAAGAAGTTTATATACGAAAGTGGCAAAACCAACTAGAGCTGAGATATTAAAATAAAGATTTTAGCCAGTTGCTAATTTCTGTTTTTTGGTGGGTTTTTTTACAGACCAAGTCATTGTCAGGTTCATTACGTATTGCGCTCTGCTGCTAATAGGATTTGTAGTGTTATGCTCACTGATAGTATTAAGTTATATGGCATCTTCTCCAGCACTGAGAAAATGGTAACAACTTTTATTCAATACTATATTTAATATTTCATACATTTTTGCAGTATACAAACATTGCAATAAATAATTTAAAGAAACAAAGAAAATAAAAAAAAGTCTCTAAACAATTTAATTTTTCTCAAAATTAGAGAGCTGCACTTGCAAATGGAGCAGTAACTTTAATGTATAACTGATTGAAACTATAAATGTCCCTTTTTGTAAATTTTAGCTTTCCTGTAATTCAGATGTTCAAATGTAGATTTTTAAGTGTCTTGCATTATTTAAGTGTATTGCAATATAATTTCAATTGTCTGAAATTGCAATGTTGTGCAAATTATATTGAATACAATATACAAAACTAAAAAAAAGTCTTTGTGCGAGTGATATTTCATTCTTATAAATAGTTATGTTTGCTTTTTCTGTGTGTTATTTGAGCTTTTCCTGTTCAGACCGACCCTCCGGTTCTCTGTGCTTACAAGCTCCCTCCTCCTTTCTCCCCTCAGTTGCGGGCAGAGGAATCCCGCAGGCTCAGATTTAAAGTTTTGGGTTCTAAAACCCCTTAATCACATGACCAGGCCACTCAGCCAATGGGAGAGCTCGGCTCAGATTTCAGCCTAGGAGGAGAGAGGGGAATATAGAGGGAGGAAGAGAAAGAGACAAGCACTAATCTGTGTTCATGATTTAGACAGCCTGCCGGTATTGACAGCACTTCTTCACACTCTCTCCATTGATTGTCTGTGTGTTGTTTGTTTTTTTGGAGTATTTGGATGGCACATTTTAAGGTGAAAGGGATTCCCACAACTGGGAAAAGTCCAAGAGTGTGTCCTGGAACAGAGTGAGGAGAGGAGGAGGGAAGATAGCAGCAGTTTTTGCCCTCATCTTAGCCTCTGCAGGCGTTTCTTCTGTGGGAGAATGGGGGCAGGAGCACTAACCATCTGTGTGAGTAAAAGCTACAAAGCCTGAGTTGGCTCAAAGAATTCCCATTCAACCTGTGATTAAGGGCTAAAGAATGCATAACGGGACTGTGTGCTGTTCAGTGTCTGTCTGCACACTGTTTTGTGATGGTGTGTGTGTGTGTGTGTGTGTGTGTGTGTGTGTGTGTTGAATGTTCTGGTAGACACAAGTGGCTTTTTAAAATGTCAAGGAGGGACAAATGTCTTCTCTTCTCAAAATCTCTCCAAGCTTTCCCTCCCTAGATTAAACTCTGCTCTTTAAATACATGACTACTGGCATTAAGTTGAATACTTTCACTTGTAGTCTTAACAGAGAAAGAAGATCCCTTGCCAGCCAGCACTACTTTAAGTCTGCCATCCGTGTACAACAGTATAACAGTACAAGAGAAAAAACAGGCATAAACACACATGGTAAGCTCCATGTTTCCTGTCCATAGCTGTAATTCTTTCAGGGATCCAGTGCCTCCATGAGGTAATTTTCCACAGAACATTCTTAATGGAAAGTGTGCTTTTAAAAGCATTAAACCACATTAACAGTCTAGTTTTTGTGCTGCGTGTCTCTAGCCGTAGTTTCTTTGAGCTGAGCAGCTGTTGCCTTTGGTTCCTGTGGTGCTTTTTGCTACCAGTTGCTTCAATGGCCACCCACTTTGGGACAGCAGCAAGGGGAGGGAGAGGGTGGAGAGGTGGGGAGGGCGAGGGTGGAGGGCTAGGAAGGGAGGGCACATGCTTGGGCTTGCTAGGCTCTACTTGAGCATGTTAAAAAGACACAGGAAGATGGCCTTGCCTGTTGGCAGTTTATTTGTGTTTAACCTCTTTTAAAAGTCTTGTTTACCCACTTAAACTGTACAAAATGTTTCTGAAAAGCATCTCGCCAGATACTTGAAATTTCAGAGACACTTCTGAAGTGGAGAGGGCAGACTTTCAACAGTCATTGCCTTCCAGGGTCTCTCAGTAGTCAGTGACAATAGGTGTCTGTCTCACTGTCAGAATCGAGTGTGAATGTATTTTAAGGACGGGGGAGGGGGGGAGGAGATGAGGATTATTAGGCTAATCACAGCAGACTGTCCTGGTGAACAATAGAGGCAAATGGGTACCACCAGGAAGTGTTTCCCTTTATTCTTGGCTGCTTTGGTTCACCGGCTCTATAGTTGGTTTTATTGCCAATGGACAACTCAACAAAAACCTTGAAAACTGACAGTATTTGTGAATATCTAACTATAACAGTATAATTACAGTGGAGTGAAGGAGGAGGATTCTCTGGTGTGAAACATAGCTCAGAGGAAGGAGTGCGATGTTTTTAAATGCTCAGATTATAGTTAATTTCACACTGACATAGTGACATTTTACATGTGTCCAACATTACAGCTCAGCTCTGTTGTTTAGGTGGGAACACAGATTACATACATTGTCTGCAAATTGATCCTTTCAGATTAAATTCTTGTTTTCTCAATTGTAATTTACTTTAAATGTAAATGGGTCGGTTAACTTTTTGCCAGTTGAATAAAGAAAATAAAAATGTCCAGGACTGTACCATCTGCCGAGTTAAATCACTGTGCCAGTCATCCAGGAATCAGAGATCGAAGGGTTTTCTATTAGCCTTGTGGTTTGCTTTGTCCCAAGAGTATTTTCTACTTTCATATTTTTTCTTATATTGTGTTGTGGATGTTTAACGGATTATTGACTTATTTCTTCTTTTAAGTAATCTTTTAAGCATATTCTGCTGTGAGAATGAGCCACTTGAATAAATTGCCTTTTTGTTGTTCTTGCATATATAATTGTTGAGGCTGTTGATCACATTCTGGTCTTGTTTGGGGTTTGTTGACATCATTCATTGCAAATTACCTTTAAATTGTTTTTGTTATGTTGTTATTGGTAATTTACTTGGACCTTAAAAGTCAAACACAACAACAAGAAATTTACTTATGACAGATGGACTCAAAATGTGGCTTTACTTAAGTTGAATATCCTGCATTATCATGTGGTTTGTGTGAATGGGGTATATGATCCTCCTCCATTCTCCTAGTTGGGCTTTGAATGAAGGTATGAGTGTGTTCAATGTGACATCACACATACATCTGTGTATGTCAACTGATAAAACCAGTGTGAGGTTAGACCGATGAACATAATATCTGTTTTTGTGAATAGTGCAATACCAAGACATAAGGTTGTGTGTGTGTGTGTGTGTGTGTGTGTGTGTGTGTGTGTGTGTGTGTGTGTGTGTGTGTGTGCATGATAGTAAAGATAGATTAAGGGGGACATGTGTTCAATAAGGCCTATCGTAGTCAGACCTAGCTCAGACCAGCTTAACTCTTAAACACCTGCACGAGTAGTAGTACTACTGGCAGTGTGACCTACTAACATTATTACTAACAATGGACTGTTACACCTGTACAGTATACGATAAAACTGTGTGATCTGGTCATTTAAAGTTGTCTATTGATTTAAAATAATCAATCAAAAGCTGTATTTTAAGAAACTTTAAGAGCTTTGAATCACTATCATTAAAGTTGTGTTCAATCAATCTTCTACTACATAAAGACATACGACCTAAAAAGCTATGTAGATACCGATTTTAAGATCTTTCTTCTACCATACAGTTAAAAAACAATTAAAGGATTATCAACTTGTTCTAACTGACTTTGCGGTAATATAATCACAGCTTTCACCGCACAGTCAGAATCAAAATTCAAGTGTTCTTAATTACCGTTTGACAGTTATCAGGAAGGTGCAATTGGCATATTTTCATGCACCTGTCAGAAAGAAGTGGATGACTGAGCACCATTAACACATCGCCTGTACAAGCTTCTCGAAATTAGCGTATTAGCACTGCCAGAGCATCTGCCATGGTAAAGATCTTGTCTCTTTAGTCATCTCAGCACCATCTGTGAGGTGGGTTTAATCAGCTGACCTGAGCTGGCACATGCCTGTGCACAATCTGTCTGAACAATTGCCCACTAGCGAATAAATTCAGTGGTACTTCCTCTTCACTCCCCGCTTCTTCCCTTCCCCAACACTGAGTCACTGTGGACCTCATTGTGACAAAATCATAGTCGGGGCCTCTCATTTCACCGTGTGGGTCAGTTCACTCATTTGAAGCGATGAACTCTGGAACGACAACATGTCACATGTTGCAGTCGTAGCTATGGATACAAGAGTAAAACTTGCTCTGAATCTGTGTTGCTCTGAAGTGCAGGAAGTCTTTTCCTCCTCACCCAGTGTCTGAATCCTGCTGCTGGTTCCTGCTCCTAGTGACTACACATAAACAGAACTGATTAATCATCCTGTATTTAAATGTGCAAGAAAAAATCAATAATTTACCCCGCTCTGACTAATGTTGGCTCGTTACATGGAGATTTGTGTTTGCACTCGGAGAAAGACAATAAGAGTGTGTGTTGGAACAGTCTGTGCATTAATACACAGAGATAGAGACAGCATGTGGCACTGTTTGCTCTGACAAGTTATCAGATAAGACATACTGAACAGCCGGTGAATTAACACACTAAATATATGCTTAGACTCTGGTTTACAGGGTTTGTCCCCTGTGGAGACTGGGCTCAGCTTAGCAATTATATGACCCACATAAGTGGCAAGAAGGCTATTTCTATTTTGTTATTCTTAATGGTTGCACACAGGTCAGATTCCCCTTGAACTCAATGAAATAAAATGGTGGAGACACTGCCGCTTTTGTCCACAGGGGAATCAACAAAAAGGTTCCTTGTTGCTGCTTTAAGTAAGATTTTCACAGCTACAAGCCACCTATATATTCTCTTGATTCTGGTGGCCCCTGTGGACAATGGTGGAAGTGTTTGTGCAGCCTCATTCCATTAATTTTGAGGGGAATACGACTTAATCCGACTCTATGGCAGGCATTACAGTGCTGAGAATAACTATATAGAAATAGCCAGTCTTCTCAATTATGGTCTTGTTTAAGTAGGTCACATAGAGGCATCAGTATTAAATTGAGACTGTTTCATTACCAGTTGAAAAGTCCTTGTATATTAACACACACACACACACACACACACACACACACACACACACACACACACACACACACACACACACACACACACACCCACACACACACACACTTTTCACTAGATTAAAATACATTTCTGTTCATAGAGCCAACTCTTGTATTACTTCTTCCTAATAAATAAGCTTCATATGTTCCTGAAAGCCACACAGTCTTGCCAATGAAACCTTTTTATCTGCCAGTCTTTCATATCTAAATGTGGGCATTTGGACTGATTATCCTTGCAGCTCTTAGCATACACACACATTAATATTCATAGTGGTTAATGACAGTGACCATCACCTCACCTGAACATTTTGTATACCTGTGTGCCTACATGCGTACGTCTATTTGTGCAGAGGTGTGTGTGTGTGTGTGTGTGTGTGTGTGTGTGTGTGTGTGTGTGTGTGTGTCACTCTGGCAATGCCTTTAACCAAAGGTGTTGCATGGTAACTTGATATTTGTCGTAGCAACACATTGCACGGCCAGCCCTCCCGGCTCTCAGCACACACTGTCCTCTAAGTGCATATCAGTAGGACTGCAGGAGTGCATGTATGGACTCCACAGAGACACCCCCACAACCACCGTCACCATGCACACCTATTAGTCTATGGAGCAAAGTGAGCCTCCCTCCTCCAGGACAGGCTCCAGTGCTGCCCTCTGTGCCCGTAGTGTCAGTGAGTGACTGCTGCTCTCTGCTCTTCTTCCTGCAGCACAACAAAACAGCGGTGCAGGTTAAAGAAGACATGAAGAGGATTGTCCAGATACCCATACTGCGACCCAGGACAGTGGCAACCAAGCACACCAAGCTGTTCGGAGTATCCCTGTTTGAGCAGCAAGAGAAGGGCCTGGTGGAGGATGGTGTGCCTCTGGTGTTGCGGAGGATGGTGGACCATCTCCGCAAGCATGGTGAGGAAAAGCACAACAGAACAGAATAAAGCAAAAAAAGTTGTAATTCTTTAAGTAGAAGAAGAAGTAGTGACATGGCCGTTTCCTCTAAATAAGATAATATATTATGAATCATTTTTAAAACCTTAATCAGATCAATGAAGTACGATGAGGATGAATCATACATACAACAGACATATTATAATTTGTCTTTTTGTATTATTGTGTGATTTTGTCTAACTAAATGAACAGATTCAGTTACACAATAATCAGAAATATCACCATCATACTCTATTGACCATTAATTCCATTATAATGTGACCATACCAGTGGTTTTTCATGTTTTAGCCCATTTACTGCAAATCACAAGTACTTTTGTTTCCATACATTTACAATATGTTCTACTAGTCTAGTAGACTAATAACACTTGAGTTATGTGATCCATCACAGTGAACATCAAACCTGCAGTGATTGTGCCACACTACATTACATACAATACTTTACATTTTGTGGTTGTGTGACATGAAATGTTTATATGTAACAAGAACATTAGCATCGTAAATCAGAATAAGTTGGAGGAGTTGATCAGAATACAAAGAAAGAGGAAAAAACAACAATAAAAGGCAATTTTATAAAGAAAAAGAAAAAAAAGACACAGTGTAAAAAGTACAACATCATTAATCCCACCATGGGAATCAATGTCATCAATGTGCTTTCACCTCAGATGATAAAACTTTAACAAAAGTCTATGCAGATTGGACCAAGCAATAATCAAGTGTTTTCATTATCTACCTAAATTAATATAAGCCCATTTGTGACTGGAACAGCAGCAAACATATATCCAAAAAACCTGCCTAACATGCTTTTTAAATTGAGCAATAAACATGCGAAATATACATAATCTTTACTTTAAAAACTAAAGCTTTAACTGGTATGGTACTTATCTTTCTGTAGTTCTCCTGCTCGACCACTAGATGTCAGTACAAGGAAGTGGATCTCCTTCCTCATGGCTACTGAACCAACAGGCCTTTTTAAAATACGATACAGTCACTGGGATTATTTTATTATTATTATATTGTAGTCTTCATCTGCCAGTCCTAGGCTGTGGATTAACACTATTATTTGGTTCAGTACAAAAAGTATTACTATCATTATACGGACATTGTTGTAGATGAATATCTTACACTAGAAACCTCAGTGACTGATATCTTAAATCATGAGCAAATGAAGCCAAATCCTTTACAACATTTAAATGGCTTGATATCACTAGAGTTAGAGTGAGAAAATATTTAGTCTTTCTTGTAATCTGGGTGAATCGATCTTTTATTTTGCGACCATTAAAATGAAGTCCTCTAGTAGCATCTAGTGGTTGCCATGGGGACCTACAACAACATCGCCAAAGACGAGGGGAGGATGCAAATCAGCCCACAAACGTTATAAATTTGAATGACAGATTTCAAGATTACAGTAGTGTTAGAGGTAAGGCCACACAACATGATTAATTACAGTGACTACTTGGGGTGACAGTAAAAGCTTTAGTTAGTTAGTATGAGTCTTGTTCAACAGTTGCTGCAGGAAACATTGGGGCTATATAACGTTAAGTCAAATCATTGCACAATCATCCTCTGGAGAACAGTATTAATTTAAAATTAAATTCATTTTTGAAAATAGTTGTTTTGATAGTTGTTGAGATTTCTGGGATCAACATCCAGCCAAAACTCTATTATTTTTCGCCTGCAATGTAAATCATGATAATAAGTCCACTTTTAGGGGGGCAGCTTATTTCATTTCATCCACAGTGAGCTCTCTTATTGAATAGCTGATAGATAGGGTTGCTCTTAATATCATGTTAAATGTTAAAGTTCACAGTGTGTCTCTGATCTTTCCTCCAGCCTTGCATCAGGAGGGTCTGTTCAGAGTGAATGGGAATGTGCGAGCTGTGGAGACCCTGAAACAGCGGCTGGAGAGCGGAGAGCATGTGGACCTTCTCTCTGAATCTGACTCGTGTACGGTGGCCAGCTTGCTCAAACAGTACCTCCGGGATCTACCGGAGGGTCTGTTAGGCTCAGCAGTTCAACAGGCACTAATACGTCACTACCAAGGTAAGAGAAAGTAGTTCTGTATGTTACAACACCAACATGTTGTCCCACATCATCATGTAACTTATAGTTTAACAGATGTGTGCTTATTTGTCTTTAACCATCCTACCAGCTCAAGAAGATCAGGTTTTAATTTTTTTACAACCATCATGTGATTCCCCAAATTCACAATGTAATATTGATACCCTCACAAGTGTAGTGAATATGTGGGTCACGGCTCTTATTGGATGATAATCAAGGCTATCTTTAGGTCCTGAAACGTACTATTAGCCCTGCAGTCATCTGCACCAGGCAGTGCATATAAAGGCACTGCTGAGTTAAGTGTGTGTGTGTGTGTGTGTGTGTGTGTGTGTGTGTGTGTGTGAGAGAGAGAGAGAGAGAGACAGAGAGAGAGAGGGAGAGAGTCTATGTTGCTGGAAACGTGCTAGATCTCATATTTCTGCCAATAATCTTGGAGGTCATAAAAGGTAAAGTGAGCGATTTGGCAGGGCAAGTGTCTGTGCTCGCCTTCCGATCTCCTCCCTCACTGGCTTTAATCTGTTTAATGTGAGGAGAGTGTTCATTTTGACTGCAGTATTCATTTTGCCCTCATAGACTCCATAAATATCAGATTGAATTTTAAGGGCTTATAGCCAAGCGCTGCATTAGAAAACTGCTCTCTGGCACAATACTTGGCCATAACTACTGAATAAAATGATTTTGGTGCACTTTGTGAAACTGGTTTGGCCTCCTTGCCGATATTTGGCCAATTCAAAAAAGTCAAAGGTGTATGATGAATAGATGGATAGGCAGATTAAATTGCTGTATGACTGACAGTTCAGAATATGACCAAACCTTTTTCATCCCCATCAGTTAACAATAGTTACATATCTCAATAAGGACAGTAAGACTTATGTGAGACTGTAGTGGAGGGTATATGCAGATATTTAGAAGGTCTGCTTCAAGTATTAAGTATTAAGAAACACTTGAATGCATATACAGAGACACTACAGGAACACAGTGCGTGACACATAGAACCACATACAGTCATATGTATTAACAATATGTGCGGTGCATTTTATTTTCATAATATTATCCATATAATCAGTCCAAAAGCAGCTTCATAATAACAGATATTTTTACTCAAATGTGCTACACCTAATATGTACATCTATAAGCTAAAAGAAAGTAAAAAACAAAACAAGACACATGAATAAATAGTACATAATACAGACACAGACATATAAATGAATAAAGGATGCTCAGTTTACTGATTTAGTAGGTGTTTAATTTAACACAGTGCAATTTCATCCAAACAAAAGGTTACTTCTTAGTCTATGGCTGGTGTTTTTTTATTGGACATATAGTTTGCAACCAAAATACTTTTTTTTTAACCGATACTCAACTTTTTTTCTGTCCACCATTCTCCCTAAAAGTACAAAATCATGGTTAACACAGTACGGTTATTGTCGCTGTCATGTTTTGTTATGTATTTGAAAATCAATAAGATGTTATAGGAAAAATTAAATAAGTAACACCGGTGATACCTTTTTTTCAGTGTAATCTGAAACGTTCAAAGAAAAGTGTGCAGTGTTCAGTTTCTCACCTTTAAGTCGATGAATTCTGCTGTCCTCTCTCTATGTCCACGCACAGTGTGTGTCATTCTCTGCAATGATATGGTCCTCTGATCAGTGATTGTCATGTATTGGCATGTATTTTGATGTGCATCCTCTTTGTTTAAAATGCGTCTACATATGCCCCCCCCCCCATCCCTTAATGTGTGTTTGTCTACTGCACTAACCTGTGAAAACCTCACCAACTTCTCATCAAATCTCACACATGCGACCATTTACTTAACACATTTGTGTACACACAATCTCTGAACTTATACAGCGGCATCAAGAGCAGTTGTGGTCACAAGCCATTCTCCCCCCGCTCTGTACTTAGACAGACGTACACACATGCCCGCCTTCACACACATGCACACACTCACGTAGACGCAAGCACACACAACGTTTGCGTCACTCATTCATTTGGGATCAGTAGCCATATCCGTTTATCCAACTCTGACCCAATTATGTACCCCGAGTAATAGCATCAACATATTTTCAGGCTCTTTGCTCTAATGCTCAAGTATTACTAGTTACCACAACTCAAGATTAAATGTTACAGAGAGCAGGTGGATGGAGTTCTCACTGCCTGCTGGAAACCAGCTGGAAAACTACTTACTAAACGTAGTAGTTGAACACTAAAAAAGGTCTTCCTGCTTCAAAGTAAATCAAGTTGGTCACTCGTCATTAGATTTTTGGTCATTTCATTGTGGGTGAAAAGCTGATTTTCAATGTTGAGAAATGGCTGCGTCGAGTTTCGGAACATTTATCAACTTTTCTACTGCCATTTTTTCGCCAGAAGTTTCAGTTTTTCAGGAAAAAGTTCTGCCAGTATTGGAAATTCCTCCAATACCTAAAATGTGGGATTGGATATTGGCTGCACCAGTCTGATGACCATGTAATTTATTAGTCTTAAAATGGGCCCATGCTACTTCCCAGCAGTATCATGTCACGCATCCATTTTTCCCCCAAGATGGTAAAGTCATGACCTTCCTAACTCTAAATAATCTCACCAATCCTAACCAACAAAGTGTGTGTTTGTAGAGTGCGGTGATGATGTCTCGTGGTCAGATATGAGAGACCTGCTCCAGCAGCTTCCAGACATCCACCATAACCTCCTCCGCTACCTCTGCCACTTCCTCACCCTTGTGGAGTGCAACCACAAGGAAAACCGCATGACTGCCTTCAACCTCGCCACTGTCTTTGGACCCAGTGTCTTCCAGTGAGTGAAACCTTTGTTTTTAAGGTAGATGTGTTGCAAAGAATATATACCAATGGACCAATGGATTCTGACCTGTGGCCCATATAAATAAGGAAAAAGTCCAATATTACTTATACTTATATTACTAAATAATTAATTTGGCTTTGTTTTGGTATCCACCAACTCTTGAAGGAAATATCTGGCTCTGCTGAAAACTGAGGTTGCTAAGAGTGATCCAAAGCAGTAAAGTTGCTGGACAAAAAAAACTAAACAACAAGCTGAAAGAGACTAAAATGCTCCAAAGAGCTGAAGACAAACTGTAGTAGAGTCAGGTGATAATTCTCTGTGGGTTTGTCACTAAAAATGACACCTTTCACTTTACACCCAGTCATTGAATCCACAGTGTGTATGAACATATGCGTTAGTGCAGCTTTAAGGATGGCCCCAGGCTGTGAATTCTGAAAGCTTTAGATTGCAACATGTCATGAAGCAACAACAATAATAGTTATAGTAAAAATAGTAAGAAATCTAACTTATTGCATTGAGTAAATGCTAGAGGTGTACTAATCAAAGTATAAGAGCCTTATACTTGTACCATTAACATACTCACAATCCAATTCTCAATTACTGGTTTAGGGTTAAATGAATGCTTCAGTCTGATATTGGTTTTAACGATTCACACTCAAGGGCATAGGAGGCAACTTGGCTCAACTAATCTAAACTCATTTATTGAAGTTTGCAGTCCTTTATTCAGACAGACTTCAGTGTGTTCACATCCTTGAAGCTCATAAAATAAAGTTTAATATTAAGTTTAAAACATAAAGTATGGTGCCATCACTGCGAACTTTACCAAACATGTTTGTTCCACTCTTTAAATAACAGAGGAGGTCAACTTGCCTTAGTCTGGAAAAAATAAATAAGCAGGCAGATATTGAAGATAGCTAAATCAGAGGGATACAATCATCTTTCCTGTATTTCTGTTTAGTGAGTCAGATATTAAACATTTTTTTCATGTCAGAGCAGTTGCATGGGCAGAATGATTCTACTCTTATGACATGCAGTACATATCTAGTAAGATAATGAACCAGAAGACTAGTTTACCCCACAGACATTGCAGTTGTTTTTGTAAATTTAGTCACTGCTTATTTGTAAGTTTTTACCCGAAACAGAGAAAAGTCTTGGCCCATACTTCAGAATGCAGCGCAGTCAGTATAGTGGGAACATAAATACTCAAATCTATACTTACAAACACAAATTAATCTGAAAGTATGAACAAAAAAGTTAGACATTAATGACTGCTGGAAATTCTCTCTGTACTGGTCTGTGTTAAAATATTTGGCCAACAGGTGGTGCTGTAGCTTATTAAGTGAAGATAAAATTTTAAAGGTTTGCTAGTGATACTTTAGTTACATTACATTGTCCATAAATGTCCCATTGATGTCAGTGCCACGTTTGATCTACATGAACCTCTGGAACCAGATGTTTGGCTCTTCAAAGTCTGACATTATATAAATCAAAGGTCACACGCTATAGGTTAAGGACACTAACTGAGTCGTGAGAGTTGAAGTAAATGTCATATGACATATAAGAAACTGTTGAGCTTAATGTGTTTTCAAATGTTAGCATGACGTTCATAAATAAATGATGCATCAGTGACTCATGTGCCTCCCTGCAGCTGCTGAGCTACGTACCTCTGTTCTCACTAGTCTATTTATGATAGGCTTACTGTCCTAAATCATACTTGTACATTTTGACCTACAGCGACTGTTCCCCAGACTCGTGACTGGTGGGCATCTCCAGTAATAAACTGGGGCGGTCAGGCCGGGAAACCCTGTCTGGTAAAAAGATCAGGACTCACTGGACAGAGAAGGGAAACTGTACTGGATACTCTTTCATACTGTACAGCCTGTTCTCTTCATCGGAAGCTGTACTTTTGTGTGTGTGTGTGTGTGTGTGTGTGTGTGTGTGTGTGTGTGTGTGTGTGTGTGTGTGTGTGTGTGTGTGTGTGTGTGTGTGTGTGCGCTGAGGTTATATAATTAGGCCTACAGTTAGGCCCACAGCCCAGTGTACATCTCACACAGCTGTTCAGTAGCATCAGACATTATACTTACTAGGGCAGCTGAATTCTGCTTTATTAATCAAGTTGATTAGAGTGTCCAAAACCAGACAGCCATTCATTTGCAAATTCTTAACTGTACTTTTATCGTTACTGTCATGTTTAAAGAATTTAATCACATTTCTTCTCTTCTGCTTCTTTTCCAGTGTGGCTCCTGGTTTCGAGGCAATAAAAGAGCAAAATATCTGTAACAAGATCATGGTCAAGCTCATCCAGAACTACAACAACATATTTGAGAGCGGCAGAGAGAGGGAAGGCTGCACAGAAGAGCTGTCGACCCTTATTATTGTCAAGGTGTTGTATACTCATAGGAGCACCAGATGCTCATGTTTATTTGAACTAGATCTGTGTTAGTGGTCAGTACAACGCAGTGCAGCTGGTAAGACTGTCACATGTTGTGCCCATGCACCTTAAACAGTATGAGTTCCTCTCTGGAACCTCTGCCCATGCACTTTGAGGAGTGATGGTTTTTTAAATACAAGGTTACATAATGTCAAGCTAAAATTGATTTAGCTATTGATCTTATATCACAGCATCGCAGGATTTACTCCTCCACAGGTGGCTGTATTTGCTGCACCGATGACTGATGTCTTTATTGATTAGCTGGTTTGTCTGGTCTGCTGGTTTTCCTGGCGGCATCTTGCTGCTGCAAGTGTAGCTCCCAGAGGAAAATGTTGGGATGCGAGAAACAAACCAAGCGCAGCACAGCACACCATCTGTTTCACAGTCATTTAAGTCATACAGTCTCGGATTTATGTTTCTTAAAACACATGAATATTAGTGTAAATAGATTTAGATAATTGGTTTCCAGCAATAAGTTTTACTTGTTTTGAGTCACAAATGCACAAGTCCCCCAGAAAAAAACTGACTAGATACTAAAAACAGAAGCCCAAATTATTTAGATTTTTTAACCTTTTTTTATTTTTTATTTTGTTTCCTAACTTGAGGTTCTGTTGTCAAATTTCACAAGCTGAGAGTTTCAGCTCTGGGTTATTTAGCTTAGAAAGTAGGAGGAGTAACACTTAATCTTTAAGGTTATCTCAAATATTTGTTTCTGGGACAAATACAATTCTGTTGGGGAAACAATTAATCTTTTATTTATTTATTCATTTATTTTTATCTTGTTTTTTTCATATTATTTCTATTGACATATTAACATAGCACAAAACAATCTGTGCCCACAACCCAGCCCAAACACACTCTCATAAACAAGGGGGGGGTAAAGGATCTCAGTAACCAAAGACAACAGGCTGGCTCATCCCAACCACATGTCGAGGACACAAACGTTTACAAGAACACATATCTCTTCCATGTCAAATTAAAGGCTACAAACAATCAATAGTGCAGGAACAAAGCAAAGAGACGAGGAAAAAACAGCAACAACAGTAATAAAACATTTAATATATAGAGCTGTGGTCAGATAGAGGACAGGTATTGCAACAATGACATCACAATTTCTCCATGTGAATAACTGAAACAAGTTTTTATCTTCTTTTCTAAAGTAATACAACTGGAATGTACTGAAAAATAAATCATTCGCCAGTGTAGAATGAATGTTCTTAAAACCTCCTAATGCCTCAAAACATGTCCCGATAACGTCAGTGTCTTTGATGGTAGCTACAGTGATATAAATGTATAACACTCTTGTTTATTTCAACCAGACCTCATGTGAACATCGAGGAATCAAGCAAACAAGCTACACAGACAGGGTAGAGATGCTAACAGAGACACACTAACCATCTTAGTTTTTAATCTTTAAAGACTTCAGAATCATTTTTATTCAAAATAAAATAAGGAAATGTAGCATAAAATCACAAGAAATTGAAGTTGAGTGCAATAAAGAAGGTGTGTGAATGATTTGAATGTTTACTACCGCAGCAGCTGCGGTGTGAGTGTCTTTTACCGTATCACACGCAGAATTGCAAAACTTTGGCCAAATTTCCCCTTTTGGAAGGACATCCTTCGCTACGGTCAATAGCCAACATCTCGATTGTTGATTAACGACTGTGTTATTGAAACCTGACATGGGCCATCTGATGCCACGGTGGGGTCACCAAGCAGCGACCCCTGGGATTTAGCTCCACGTGAGTTTAACCTCTCGTGTCTTCTCTCCCCCAACCACAACTTTTTAACTTCACCCAACATAGTGTCTGGTTCTTATGTGACACTATGCTTATCATGCAGAATAAAACCGCTGTTGATAAGTGACCACATGCAACCTGAGCTCATGAAGGTCCAGATTCATAGTGGCAGTAAAAATTAAATCTGGGAAAGCTTTGACGACATAGTGTCATTTTCTTGTGATTGCATTTTCAGTCACAGATGTCTGTGCTGTGTTGTGAATGTCTGTAAGGGCACAGCCACATGAGATGCCGCTGACCTCTGGGAAACCCTCTCAGTCAGAATGAGATTGTCTTACACATACACATGCACACATACACATAAACACATATGCACAGGCACTCACAGGCTACTTAGGTCTTTCCTCCTCTGACCCTCCTGTTAATGCCTTTGAACCCAGCACATATGATCACTGGTGTTGCCTTTTCCTTCAGTCACTAAATGCTGATGAGCAGGAGGGGTGCGTCAAAGTGTTTGTGTGAGTTCATATGTTTGAATCTATTCTGAACCCTGTTGTTAAGGCTCACAGAAGAAAAGCAAAAGCACCCAGGAGTTCCTCTAAAATGGCTCCCTAGTTGTAAAAATATATTCCATAGCTACTGTCTTTATGAGGGCCCAGTTACAACAGTAAGATAACTGGAGAACAAAGTCTACGGGCCTCTGTTAAGCTTAGATGTGGATTACAAATGTGACAATCTTCTTGTTCCTCTGTCTGATCCCAGGAGGCGCACGTGACAGACACAGAGAAGTCATCCAGCCTTCCCAGTGCACAGACACCAACGCCAGTTCCCAGGACAAAGGTGCACGCTTGGCTTTCCAGCAGCTCCTCAGTTTACCTGTTATGGAAATCTTTGTCTGAGTCTGTCTGCTGTGAAGTGCTGTGTTGTTGTTTGTGCGTGACATTCCCAGGTCAAACTTGCATGAACCCTTCAAATTCCCTTACATAGTCCTTTTTAACACCAACCATGTGATCTGTGTGACGTGATTAACGTAACATGGGCATGTTTTGGAAAAGCTGTTTTCTAACACCACAGCCATTTCTGTGTGGGTCTGTGTAGGTTTCTGTGAGCTTTAAAGATGTTATCAGTGTCAGCTGACTTGTGTAAACTGCCTGGAATTGTAATCAGGTCACTTAGGTCAGTGTGAATAGATTACAACCTTTTTAATAGTAGGCATGTTATTCATCATTACTGAGGAGTTCATTTGTTCTCAGGATAGGAGTCTTTACAAATAACACTGTTTTGCCTTTTCTCATCGTCATCAAAACATCATGTGCACTGCAGTGTTTATATTCAGATTTACAATAAATTGACAGTAAAAGGAGCAATAATACAACATCTAATTTTATTTTCCACAAGAGATGCCCCTGTAGCCTGTCAGATGTAGTAAAAAATAATGACATAAGATAAAGAAAATATAATTAGATTAAAAAAAATATTTGCTTAAGGTTATATTAATTCAGGATTTTTCTAACAGCACCCTGGAAATTAATTAGGATAACCTTGTAGCCCAACATTATTTCATGCACTCAGTTGTCCAGGATTGTTGTTTTGTTATTTTTATGTCAATCACCATTATTTAATTGTTTTTCCTCACTATGCTAATTACACAGGATTTACAGTGTAAACAAATCAAACACCCGCTATCTTAATAAGCAAAGTTGTTTCTCTCGTAAAGTCTATAGTGTGCAAATATGAGATCCCCAGTTTTTTTCCCGTCAATGTATTTGTAGCATGAGGCTTTTTTTGTTGGTTTATATGACTAATGTTTCTATGCACTTTAAATATTTATTTTGCCTTTTATCTCAATACATTTTCCAAGGTTGGACTTAAAAACCTGCCGCAAAATGCAGAACCTCTCGAGCAATCCTCCACTAACACTCCAAAGGCGAGGCCAAGGAAAAGAAAGGTACTGAAAATAACTGTTTATTAATGTCATTAATTACTGTGATTAATTGTGCTCGTTTAGGGGGTTTGACCTAATGGTTAAAACGCTCTACTTCTCACCTTTCCAACAAATACGTCCTGCTTTCTTATCTGCTGTATTGCCCTGGCACTGATTAGCCTGGGGCCATCGCTCTGACAGCCTCTGATGCCTGTGACCTCGCTGCTCGGTCACATGATGTGATTTGATAAAGGCAATCTGCTGCAGGAAACAACAGCGCACTCATTTGCAGTGAGAGACAAACAAGGGCTATGGTATGCTCTTCCAGCAGTGTTGTGGTATTGTTGCACATGAAACCGAGCACAAGAGCTGAATTTGATCATAAATTTGATTTTAAACAAGGGTTGAAAATATCTTGTTTGTGTACATGTTGTAGAAATCGAGCTCTGGGTTCATATGTTTACTTTAAAGTCAAAAACAGGTACATTTAATGAAGTTAATCTAAAATTCTGTTTTAAAGTAGGTTACTTTGATCTCACACAGATGGAAAATTAGGTGTGTTATTAGGTCACGTTCATTTTTATACATGTGATAAAATGACAAGTAATTTCTGTGAGTTATGTGCTTCAGTTTGACAACAAAGACGGATTGAAATTATCTCTCTGTGGTTGCTACGAATGCAGATTTAAACAAAGATGCCATAAACACCGTGTACGCATCAATAGGACCAGTGTCAGTGTAGAGATAAAAGAAATGCTGACTGACAGCAAGATAAACTCAGGAGGGTAAAAACATCTGCTCATGAAGGATGTTTGCTTCCGTCAGTAGTCAGTGAAAAATCTGAGCTGGTAGGTATCTAAAAGTTACTTTAAAGACCCCCTCCAGACATATTACGAAATATATACAAATAGTATGTTTGGAACAATATTTGTGCCTGAAGATTTCCACATTAAAATCCTTATAAATGCATCTACTTCTTGTCTATGAATATGCACATTTTGTTAATTTATGAAGTTTTCCTGTTGGACCCAAGCTCTCCTATTTCACTGTAAAGTCCATTCTGAGTGTATGTGCATTGGTGGCTTTAAGTTTCTTCATCAAACTTGTACCAATCAAGCTCGTAGTTCTATTGGAAGCAATTGCGAAAACTGTGAAAACGGTATTGGACAACACATGAAATCAAAGACATTGATTACAAAAGGAAGGATGAGATTCAGTAAACAAGAGTTAGGCATTAGTAGGTAAGTGAATTCGTACAGTAAGAAGTATTGAATTAAGTTCTCACAGGAAATGAAACACAATACTTTATCTAGTTAACATACATGTTATTGTCCACAAGAGTAATATTTAACTTAACAGCCCAATAGTAATTCAACAGCTAATTTAACTAGAATATTACACTGTATAGTGGCTGACTTGGTTAGTAGTAATCTGATAGATAGAAAGAGGAACTACAGTCTACTAAATCACAAGTCAACAATCACAGAACAGCTACAGTATAGAAAATGTAGTACCTACAGATAATGCTCCAACAAGGATGTTTGGGGAGTGGATAAGATGTCAGTTGTTTGCTTGGGCAAAGATCTGACAAAATGGTGGATGTAACAATGTCAGTTCAGCATCAACTGCTGCTGAACTGTGCCAGTAGTGGTTGCTACTAGCAACACAATGTTCAGCTGAAACCAACTGCTGGTGGCAAAAAAGGAGCCAACAGCAGTAAAACTAATAAGAGTCTGTTGTTTCTTGTAACACTTAACCCGTTAACTTGAGTGTCCAACTACTGTTTCCTGTATAGCTAAAGCTGACACCAACAGATTCAAACAGATTCCTAGATATCCCTGACTTCCTATGAAAATGAAAATGTAGTTTATTGCTCTTAAAGGCTTAATGATTTATCAAGTGATTCATCATCATTACTAGTATTAACTTTTATAGCTACTATTTCCCAAACACTCCTGTTGAATCACCTCCATAAAAGCTGATTCACTTTCAAGGGCAGACACAACAACAACAACACAGCTTTGATGTTTGATCAAATAAATACAGTAAAAAGTATAAATTTTGGACTAATCGTCTCTGACATGGCTGCACATATGATTATTACTGCGGCACTGCGAGGCAGAGGTGTTATAAGTCTATACATTATACAGTATTTATCAGCCTCCGGTCGGGTATAGGTGTGAGAGAAAAACACACAAACACACCGACACACACTTTGAGTTAGAGAGCCCTAAACATATCTGTTGTGACTTATTTATGATGCACCTGTCATTAAAAAATATTGTGTTGAACAACATGAGCTTTGGACTCCAAAAGTCCAAACAAATACAGTTGTTGTTAGTATTATTATTAGTATTACTAATTGCTTGTTGTTGTATTTTTTCTTGCACCACAGAGGCAGCAAGAAATAAAGATACATACATTTAACATAACATTACAAACACAGAAGACAATATTCAAACCTTTCAACATGCATTTGATCTGTGATTAAGGCTCCATATTTCATTTTAGGATTGACTGGTGCACAGAGGAGTGCTTTGGTTTAATCTTGTTAAATTGCTATGGCAGGACCACAAAAAATTTGAATCCTTTTTTTGAAGTATGCAAATGTCAGCTTTTACATTTTTGTGTAAGCAGGAAGAGAATGAATCAGACTGCAAAGACACTTCTGAAAAACTAGACATCTGACAAATGAGCTGTCACCACTCAGTGAATAGAGCTCAGTTATCAGAGGCCAGCTACAACTGGCTTTTCAGTGTAACAGATTACTGGAGAGAAATCATACCAAAGTAAAATATTAAAGTATTTTATCTGGCTTTCTTTGCGGTCTTTTGATATTTTAGTCACAAACAAACTATTAATCCATGATTTAGAAACCAGGTCATATCCTCATTTTGGTCTGTCAGGCTTCTTTGCCATCTGGCCTATTTAGCTCCCACTTGTTGTTGCTCCGTTTGAGCTTTTTTTTTTTATGTAGGCAGAAACTGAGAACCAGGAATGGAGGCTGCGTGATGGGTCAGTGGTCAACACTGTTGAAACCCACTTGCGGTTTGATTTTTAGCTGCGGCTGATTGGAATTCCCATGACGGTGTCTGAAATCAATCACTGATTGATATATAGTCACATTACATCTTTTATGTCCTTTTGTAGTGTGTCTAGAGAGTGTGGTGGTGAGCTAAAATATATAAATAACAAAACCTGAAAAATATAAACCAACCAAGATGACAGCACCATGTTGAAGTTCATTATCACAACACAGTTTTTTTTTCACCTGGATTATTTAATCATGAGGTCTGAACAATACAAGCTAATGTCCAATGTTTTCCCCTTTGTGGTTTTCTGTGAATGACAAATTTAGCTAAATCTATTACAAAGCCCCAGGGGCAAAATCCATACCAGGTCTAGCTAAAGAAGCTTGTGGAGCTAATTATGTTCCCAAAGATTCACCCATTAAGTGCACCAATGACTAAATGGAGGTAGCGTTAGAACAACCCATTAAGTCAAACCCCAAATGGAAATGTTCTGCTGATAATGGGAGCAAAGGGGGAAAAAAAAGCCTTTTAATTCAACCGTTTATCTAGAGCCAAGGCTCTTTTAGCATTGGTTGTTTTTGACAATTATCAATACTTAAGCTGCTGGCGTCAGACCCATTTCATACTCTGTTTACCACAGCCAGTCGGTCTATTTGGCCTCAATGTTCATGGGCAGCCATACCAGTCTTCTCCATATATACTAAGAGAAAGCCCTGTGACACATTCTTTAACGCCGCTCTCGGGCTTCCTTGGTTAAAAAAAATGCAGAAGGGCTCTAACAATGTGGCCGTAATCAGGTTAAGGTTCTACTCCTACACTACAATCCGAGGTTCACGCTATTTATACCCACTTAGGGTCAGCACGGTAAGACAAAGATCAGTCTAACATTACAGCTTTACTAGCTAACCTCGTTTTTCTTTGCCTTCTTTGGTTGTTTTTTTATTGCTCTCTGCTTCACCTCAGAAGACCTTTGAATGCATGTTTTATAGTAACCTGAGCAAAGGTTGTAAGCAGTGTGTTTCTGTGTGTTTCTTTGTGGTTGTATGAGCTTCATTGAGCAGAAATGCTACAAGCTGTGTATAATTTACGTCTTGTGCTGTGTCATATTTCCTGTCACGAGACTCACCTGTTGTTGTTGGCATCCCCCCTCCCCCCCTTTCTACGTAAAACAGGTGAGGAAAGGGAAGAGTGACGGCATGGCCCAAGTTATCCCTCAGCCCCGTCGCTCTGCTGGGTTGCCCCATGCGAGGCCCCTGTCCATACCCATAGTTCTGCCCCTGACCTCTGAGCTGAGGAGCCCCAGTCCGGAGGCGATGGATACAGCTCCCATTGCACTGGCTCGGCAGGACACCCCGGACACTGCCTCACAACTCAGCCATCTCGAAGTCAGCTCCTCTGGCAGCATGGAGGCCCTCAGCAGGTCAGTGTGTCCTGCAAAGAAAATGCACTTGTGTCAAAGAAAATTACAAATACGAACTGGTATTTCTTGCAGTTGCAGAATTGAGCTGATAATCATTTTACTGAAATTAATTTGTGATCCATTTTGTTTGTAAAAATAGATTCAGAGCTTTATTGATGATGGTGTTAGTAAATTGGCATTTTTAGACAGCATGTTGTGAGTTTCATTAGTGTAAAGTCAAAATCTGATTATATTATATTTATAGATATTTTATCTGCAGTTTATGCATTTAAATTATTATTTGTTTTTCAAATAAATATCTTAAGCCCTTCAACTAGAGTAAAAGGTAAAGCGTGCACCAAAAACTGAATTTACTGACTGATATGGTGAGTTACGCCCGCAGTTTTATGGCTCCTTTAATATGACACTCTTATCTGTGAGCGTGAGCCTTTATGACCACTGTAAAATAAAATCTAGACTGCCACGGACCTCACATTACACTTCTAACGATTTATATTTTAATTTTGTAAATGTCCAGCTCTAATGAGGAGAATTAAGGGGGGATTCTGGCAATGGTAAATAGGTTATGACCACTGTTTGCACAAGTGATGTTCTATTAGCCGAGGGTGAGGGTTAAGAATCCTGAGTGTCTGACAGCGATCGGGGATCTAAAGCCCAGGCCTCGTGGCAATGAGCCTCTGGCATGCAAACAAGCCTATTATAAGAAGCTGAAACTGGAACCACTTGGTGTTTAGTGTCCTCAGTCCTGGAATAGCAAGGCTACAGCTGTATCTGTTGTTGGGGCTCTTGCTGCTTTGACCGAGTGCTCAGACTAGCATTAACCTTGGCTTTGATCACATCTGTAATGTTTGGACTTGACAAATTTCACTACCATTCCTTTTAAATCCTTATCGAATGTCACACAACAAAATATAATGTGGGGCAACGCAATAAATGTCATATGTGTGATGTTGAAGCACTAAAATGAGAAATGATGACGCTATGTTGGCTTCTACTACGGCTTTTCGATCACACCAGTGACCTTTAGTACGACATTAATCACAGTTTCAAACAGTGTCAGCAACCAGATCCATTAACACATTACATAAAAGTTTAGTATGACACACACATCACGGCACACTGCACCCACTTACACATATTTAAATAAATCTGTGTAATATAATTGTAATAACAGGCTTTCTGGACTGTATTTTTATCTTAGAATATGAAGTATTTCTTTTTCAGCTTTATTGGCACTAATAATAAAATGTTGATTATCTTAACAAATTCATGTAGTAATTCTGTGTTTAAAAAAAAAGTCAGCCTCCGTTCTTCAAGCGTTTCTTCTCTTTAAATCATCTCAATCATGTTAAAAGGCCAGTCATTGGTCTTAATGGACCAGATGTTCTCGTCTACATGAAGTGGCAAATATAATACTTCCAAGGTGGTAACAGCTTTCCTCGCCATGTCAGGGTATCAGTAAATCTCCTGGTAGAATTCCCTTACATTCTCCTTGCCAGGTCGCATTGGGTGACTGATATGCAGACAGTGTGACAGGGGACCCCAGGAAAGTGCGTCAGCGATCTGAACTCACTGGTATTTACTAATAGACACCTTCAAATAGATTAAAGACTAAAATTTAGGCTTTTGGTACTCACTAGTATCAACAAAGTAAAGATACTGGAGCTATTAAATGTATCTGACTACAGTGAAAAATAGATCATGTGTATGAGTTAAAAAATAATTTCCATTCTAAGTAGCTAAATGAAAAATATAAACGAAGCACATAATAGATCATTTTCCATAAGTGGGTCCATCTGTGTTTTCAAATGTGTTGCTCCTCTCATGGCAGCTTGTCAGCTTGCTCTCACTTTCCATAGGTATGTGTCAGACAAATCGGTGTCAGCATAATGCGACACATACAGCAGCACAACCACTCGTTCCAGGTGGTGAAATATGAAATTCTAAATTTGGGAAGTATGTTAATACTACTACTTACTGGTGGTAAAGAAGCAATTTTTAAAATGTGTAATGTAGATATGATACATGCACCGTTCATTCCAGGAACTACCCTCCGTCTCGTACAGTTACTCTACTCGCTCAGCTCAAATTCACCTCTCACTAGAGGTCAAATCATCATCCTCAGGGTTTCCCTGTTTGTGGCTCCACTATTAGATCTTCTTGTTTATGCACGTTTTGACCTTTGTACTGTATCGGCGTCTTACCACGTTTAGCATGTAGCATCTTTAACATAACACTTTACCTTACTCCTCTATATCAAATACATTAATCAAGTAATTTTGTATGCGACAATGCTCTCACCTGTACCTGAAATATGACACCAGCCTTATTCACCACACGGGCCAGGCAAGCCAACATAGCAGCGTCATGTGAACGTATTATGCTCTCAGCATTGCGTAGTTGCACATAGGAGATGCATACTGGCTTTTGTGTGGAGTTGCCATGGTTCACTGAATCTTGTGATGTAACCATTGAGTTTCTTAGAAGCCCATTGGAAATAGGTGGGAGTGAGGAACGTTGCAGTGTGGTGTGAGTGCAGGTTCCCTGTGGGTATAACGGTATTGTTGGCCGCCTGTCAGGAAGTCTCATCAGTCAACCTGAACGCCTGACAGCACACATTTACAGCAAAAAACTGCTGGCTGGATCAAACTGGTTCTCCTGCACATCAGATGTCTCATATAGGATAGTGGCCATTAATCAAGTTTTTATGTCTATAAATAATCTTAGTCATACAGATCATATGATACAGATCAGCTGTTTTATTCTTGAACATATTCACAGTTCATCAAAGAGGCTGCGTTAGTTTTACTCATGCCTGAAACTCCCCGCCAGTCGGGTTTGATGTTCAAGCTCAGTGGCGGAAATCAGATACCTGGCTGGAAAAAAGATGACAGCAGGTGTGTGTGTATTTTAACTTGTACTGAAAAGTTAATTTATCGATTAGACGGAAAATTAATTGTTTAACAGACTTTTCAAGTATATAAACACCAACAATTCACTGTTTCTAGCTTCTCACTTGTGAAGATTTGATTTCTGAGTACATTTGGATTTTGAATTGTTTATCAGAAGATCTGAAGACTTTGGGCTATGGTTTCTGTCTTAAGACATTTAAAGACAAATTATTAGTCAAATGTTGTTAAAATAATCATTAAATACAACCCAAATTGCAGCAATCATGTGGAATTCTTTTAGCCACTGCTAACCTAACACAAATGCTGTGTTTTTCTGTGTAAATTTGCTTTTAATGTCAATCGGGTGTTGCTACGGTAACGGTCATGATTAAGAGACAAAACAAAATGCACGTGTGAGTGACTGAAGAATCCTATTTCATCTTTAAATTGTAACATTCCTCTGGAGGTCTATCTACGCTCGAAGCATGATGTCTCTGTGTTGGTTTAACACCATTTTCTCTGCTGCAATGAACATATACCAAGCATAGCTTAGCCAGGCTTATCCGACAAATACTTTAGGTCTTGACCAGCACACAGTTTGTGCTCTGAGATATTCTAAGAATGTCCAGCGCTGGTCTAAAAGCCGATGGTTTGGGGGTCCTGAAGGGACTGGAGACTGCACAGAGGAGCTGAGACACAGGGAAACTCTGTCTGTACAGGTCCCAAATCCTGCTTGGCTCTTTATTAATTAATGCAGTCAAAGAAAAGCTTTCTTTTAGATCTACCGTTGCAGAACCATCTCAAGCTTCACTTTTGAAAAAATTGTGTAAAAATTGATTATTAAAGATAATAAAGATAAAGATAATCTCAACTGCAATTGGCAGCATTGAGTTAGTCCCTCTTTTGTTCATTGTTTTGACTTTGGTTCATCCCAAAATTTGCTTCTAGATTTTTGCTACACTTATTCCTGGTTGTGGTAATAAATCACCTCACTTTATTGGTAAATCCGTGTTTGACTTTGGTTTGAGGACAGGGAGGGAAAGTCCTTTTGTATACTTTCATGTTGCGCTCCTACACCTTTAGACAGAGGCGTAACACAAAAACATAGTGATGGAACCTCCAAATTAGTGTTAATAAAAACCTTTAATTAGACTTCAGTGAGTGTTGTTGCATGTTGCAGAGGGATTTTAGAAAAAGTAAGGCAGAGCGGAAGGAAAGGGACCTTGCCAAAATTTTCTGGAGCCAGCTGGAGGATTTTTCTGCTAAGCCAGACTACCTTTGTCTACACATTTTTAAAAATGTGGAAAAAGTGGAGCGTATCCAGATTTACCAACTTGTCATTGGTAGTTTTCCGTTCGCCCCGGAGGGATCAGGCCTTTTTCCGAGTACCCCTACAAAGCTGCTCGTTATCCCCTCAGTATGGTAGTGGGTAAGCGGGATTTCCGCTTTTCGCAATTCAACGGCGGCGGTGACGGCACACATTATTTTAATACGCTTGCCAGACTGTGTAACACCAGTTAAGAACATGGGTGTGGGAGAGAAAAAAAACCTTGACCCCTGTGGCTCCAAAAGAATTTGGAAGTGTTTGTGGTGAACTGCACCCAGGAACACAGACACATTTCTCCTGTACATTGTGTCTTAGGAGAAGACTTTTGAAGTTCAACGAACTTTGGCCAGTTTTGATTCCTGACTGGATTGAAACCTAAATCCTTTGTTTTGAACTTGTTGAGGTGCTGCTGCCCGAAAGACCAGAGTGGTTTCCTCTCCCCTCGACACGCTCGCCCCCCTTACAGTAAGCCACTCGAAGGCACGTCACGTACCAACACACACCAGAGAACCAAACATTCACTGAATGGTTGAACTCAACAACAACTCTTTCTTCTGAGAGTCAACATGTTTACAACCCACGATCAGACTGATTGTTTGTTGGTTTCAGTTTGATGTTGGTTATTTTCTGTTCCTCTTTAAGACATACAAAAACCAAAACAGCAACAAAAACAAACAAACAGGAAAACTGAATATTTTTGGTTTTAAAATCAATAATATTGTGTGACTGCTCCTTTTGGCTAATGTTAAGCTGTATGTGGTGTAAAGGACAGGAAATTTTGTTTTAAATAGGGACTGTCAATAACTATAGTACAAAAATCTGTGACAAATACACATCACAGTTTCATAAAGCCAACCGTATTGCTTGTTTTCTTCAACCAACAGTCCAAAACCAACAACATTTAGTTGACAATTATATAAAACAGAGAAAGTAAGCAAATGATCAAAAAATGTTTTTTATGATTTTTGCTTAAATAGTCAAACTAAATAATACTTTTTTTTAATTTGTGGGTTGGTTGATAAATCACCTAATTGTTTCGTCTCTATTGATTAGCAAAATGTGCTGCAGACTTGTATTGAAGCATTTGGTGAAATTGTTTTGGAGACCAAACAGATAGCCCATCTTATCATTCACTAAAAGATAAATACTCAGCTGAGCAGTTTAAGTGTCAAAATACAGTCTGGAATTGACTTTCTCTGCGTCTGCTGTACTTGGTTTGTCAATTTTTTTTTCAGTCTGACCTTTTGTCCAAATTCTTTCTGTTGTATATTTGTAAATTGAAAGCACTGTTAGAGTTCATGTTGTCACCTGTAACATGTGTTCCTGTGACCCAGTTGAACATCCCGATAAATTGGGGTTTAAAATTATGAATTGTTGTGTCTTTTATGGAGAAAATATAGTCCTTTTTCGCTGCAGACATTTTGACTTGTCATTGTAGAAAAGGCGCAGATGCTACTAATAACATATTCAAGTGTCACAGTAAGCAATGACAGTGTGCCAGTGAGCCAGCATGCACATAGCACTGTTATTTTTAACAGTTTTACACCTGTGCTTTTTCTACTGTGACAAAAAAAAGCCATTAACTGTGAAGACGCATGTCTTATTTGCTTTGAAGCTTACAATCTGGTTGCTTTGCATTTTTTAAATTATGTTTAATAAAAAAGCAAAGTTGTTACACAGTGTCATTGTAGCATCAAGAACCAGCATATATAAAGACAGCCTTGATTTAACACTGCTTGGTAAGGTTTGGTTGCAGTGTTTTTCTTCCTGCTTTGACTTTAGAGAAGAAAACAAGACTAGGTGATTATGAAATTTTCAGCCTGTAAGATCCAGGATATGAAAATATTAAGCAACCTCAACATTCAGTGCGAGCACTGAGTTCCTCTTATCGTTGCATAATGTCATCATGTGTTGCTGGCATACATTCAGTAGCAGCAGCCTGCCTATATTCTAGAGCAGCACCCATTTCTAACTTGGTTCATAATAATTACCAGAGACAAGTCCCACAAAGGCACTGATCTGCAGCACTGCATGGCTATTATTCTGCAGACAAAAGCCAGCCTTATGCTCCTATTTTCAGCCCCAGTGACATGCAGTGATGAGTGGGGTGAGGGTTAATGTTTTTATGCCATTGCACTTCACAACCACATCATGTAAGCTAATTAATTATTTGTGTTTGTTTTCATATTTCAGCTCCCAAGAAGAAGAGAGGCCAATATCTCCTTTCTACATGAGGTAGGCCTCCAGTCTTTGTGTTAGAAAGCTGGCAGAGCTGTGTGACAGTATGTTGTTTTGCACTCGAGGTGTGGGGGAAGTTGCTGTGAGCTGCCTTAGTGCATTACCATTGGAAACAATGGAACCGCCAGTTAGAGGGAAAGCAGGGCAAAATGCACATGCAACAGTTTACTCACCACTGTTTGGGTATTGTGGCGGCGGCGGCGGCGGCCACAGCACATGTTTCAGACACACCACTTAAGGAAAAGACACGGCTGGGTGAAGACACTGTTTTTCAGAATGATGTGATGGTTTACATAATTGAACAGAGTATGAATCCAATCCAATCCAATCCAACTTTATTTGTTAAGCACTTTAAAAACAACCAAAGTTGACCAAAGTGCTGTACAGGAGAATAAATAGGACATCATAAATGTAAACAGTGATGGTGATGATGAAGACCACTGTGAGGAATATAGACAGTGATGATGAAGACCACTGTGAGGAATATAGACAGTGATGGCGACAACACTGGAAAGTTCCCGTGGCAGACAACATGGACGAAGTCCGACGGCGACGAGCTCGATGTCCGGGCTGCAGACGCTCTTTCACACAGACGTGCCCGGCGTTACACCACCTGTTGTTTATGAGCACGGACAGTCCCCCTCCTTTCTTCATGCCGGTCGCGGTGGTGTCCCTGTCGGCTCGAACCGTCTGGAAGCCGGGCATGGTGACGATGGAGTCCGGTATCTGCTCGATGATTGCAGGGATGAAGAGTTTAAAGCTCCTCTTCTTCATCCTCCGTTTAACCCCCTATTTTGATAATTGATTAACTGTTAGTACATTTTCAAGCAGAAATAGTGAAGAAATGCCAAATGTTCTCAAGTGAGAGAATTTGCTTTCCTTTATATCATTGTAATAACTGAATATATACTGAGGTTTCACTGTTAATCTAACAAAACAAGACATTTTAACCCTGGGCTCTTCAAAGTTGGGACAGGCATTTTTTTCAGCATTTCTCTCCATTTTATGGTCTAACCATTAATTGATTAATCAATAAATGATTTGGTAGATTAATTAATAATGAAAAATAATTACAGTCCTAAAATATCTGACTACATCCAGCCAGTATTACTGAATTTAATATATTTTCTTTACTTATTTTACAGTCTTGTGGGTAAAATCAACCCATTACAAGTAAAGTGAAATTATAGTAAACAGTAAACCTCATGTTTTTGCACGTGCAAGTGATAACATTTCATTACAATCTCACCACACCTTTTTGATTATCACCTGTTAATCATTAATGAACCTACTGTCATCGTTTCCCAGTTTGCCCCCAGTGTATGTTGACCTAAAGCCTTCAAAACTCAGCAGTTTGTCCACTCAGTGTTAACAGCTGGTTCTTTGGTTAGTCATTTGGAGTTGGCACATTTTCAGGTGCTGATATGACTCCAGGGCAGCTGTTAGTTTGATCAAGTTTACAATTATATAAAACAGATTTTATCCTGATTTTATTGCTTTTTTTTTAGACACAGAACAAAAGCCTTACAGTATAATTGGGGAAAATTGAGTGTCTAGGATAAGGCGCTCACAGCTGACAAAAAATAATGCAGCTAAAACTCAAATGCACTTCATGATTATTTGCTTCATATCTAAGCTTGAACATTAACAGTTTCTTCAGATTTTTATAGTCTGATTAAATCTGGCTGTTGCCAAATCACAGGTAACAGCATGAAGATGACCAAAATACTCAATAAATAAGACAGATAATAAGACTTGTGTAGCTTTTGCAGAATTGTTTTGTAGCAGCAGTAAACCTGGATAGAACAAAAACCTTTATATTAACTTTGACTGGGACATCTTGTCTCTTGGTAACCCAAATCCTTTTATTCATGACAGAAGGCCAAAGGTCCCGACTAGTTCACTAATCCAAGTCCTACACATGTGGTCAGCCATAGAGTAAGCTATGTGCAGTATGCGTAGTATATAATACATAATTATAGCCTGGTTTACTCTTTGTATGTATTACATAATCTATGTACTCGGCATACCTACTCAGTAAATTGTCGATTACATTTTACTACTCACATTTCTAAGCCTCATTTAAAACATTTCATAGGTCTCTATGACTCATTATAAAGAATGTGCAGGCACACAAGTATGTATACGTGTATATGATATAAATGCATACAGAATAATTTATATTGCGCTCTTACTGCTACTGTTTTCTTATGTATAGAAAATGTATATAAATCATTAGTTTAAGAGAACATGGAGGTGATGAAGAGGCTGTACTTAGGCAAAGTAAGGCAGAAAAAATCTCAACCTCGTGGTGTGTCTAGAAGAAAAGCCAGGGTCAAGAGTTGGGACGTTTGAGACTGGATCAAAGCGGTAGACCGATCCACAGCTCGGTATTAGCGTTCATAGAGCCACGCTGCTAGCATTGATACATATTTCCTCTTTTTCAGCTCTTCAAATGTAGATATTTGCTGCATTTCTGTTGTATGTAATTGTAAACTTAATATCTGTAGATTTTGGACTGTGGGTGGGCAAAATAAGCTTTTTGAAGTTGAATGTTGTCTTGGGCTCTTTTATACACTAAACAATGAATCAATGAACTGAAAAAAATTGTTTACAGATTAACTGATAATGAAATCATCAGTTGCAGTCCTAGTCTGTGTCACCCCGACATCTCTGAATGACTAAGACTGTATGTTGACACTTTCTCCCTCCCTTTACCTCACTCTGTCAACCCCATTCACTTCTCTAGCTCACGTTCATCAATGACTAACTCCATGCCCTACTTGTACTTTGTCACATACACACGCACATACCATACAGACTTTCTCTCTCTCTCGCTCTCTCTCTCTGCTGAAGTCTCATTGCATTCCTTCACACACAGAGACTTGCATGGGAGATTAACCTCAACCCAGTCAAAATGGATCACAGATCATCATAATTTTCTTCTGTGTGTGTTGACCAAAGACTCTAAAGGTCTTGGCTAATATCTGACTGTGGTGTAATACTGGATTACCTGAATGGACGCCCCTGGGTACACAGTGCTGGGGAATTAACTGGTATAAGCCTCTGCTGTGGAAGCTTTGGGGTTGTTTCCTCCTTGCCGTTTTTGCCTTAAAGAACAGTTGACTTTAAAACACCAACACAGACACAAACTACAGAAACCAACAAGCTTGACAGCACTTGTAAAACAAAGACTTGCACTACTGGCTTTTAAATTCACACTCAGTGAAACAATAATAGCACAATTACACAATTGAACCGCCAGACCTATCATTCCATAACAGACCTGACTTAACAGTTTAGTAAATCCTACAGATCCCATCAAACTGAAAACAAAAAAACAGCTGATGACTTGTAAATGGTTACTCTGGTAAATTCAAAAATCACATTTTAAATTTGTCAAGTAAATTGATCAGATCCATTATATATCTCTAAATGAACTGTTCAACATTTTGGGAAATATTAATTTATTTATATATAAGCTCAATACTACTCCCATATCGGTAAATATGAAGGTGCTGCCAGGAAGACAGTTAGCTTAACTTTGCATAAAGGCCGGAGACAGGAGGACTTTCAGACAGAGCCATGCTCCAGCTGAAAGTAAAAAAAATCAGTCTACAGAAGATTGCCGTTCTCAAGACAAGGATATTTGCAATGGAGAAGTCTTCTGAACTCACCAACTCAATCCTCTGCTGATGAGTTAGTTCACCAGAATTCTACCAGGCAAGATTGTAGAAGACTAACCGAAACAAAACCAAAGCAAAGTAATGTGCTTTGAATGGGACTTCTCCTACATGCTTGGAATGGCGGATGATGCGAAGGTGTAACTACAACTATGCCGCTAGATGCCATTAAGTCCTTTAAAGTCACCCACAGTCACTGCCACATCGCCTGCCTCCACCCCAAACCAAGTACATTCTGTAACGTCAACCTTGCTGATAAGTAGACAAAAAGAGAGAACAGCTCTCTCCTGGCCAGGCTGACAAGACTGATAAGGCCAGCAAGGTCACCAAAAGTTTCATCAGTCTCCCCCCATGTCAGTGGATGCCATTATGCTTTACTGCTTCATTTTGAATCACCGGCATTGAAATCAACACCAAGTGAATCTGCTAGGCATCAGCGTAGACAGGAGAGAAGACAGGGTCCCTGATTCAATTGTACTACCCCCAATATGCCTCTTCTTTCTCCTGAGGGCATGGAGCTACCGCCTCGTACGGTGATCCCCACCAACACTCAGAATTCCTCCTGTCCAGTTGCATACTTAACATGTACAAACCACCTAAATACTTTGCTGAATAGTTGTCTATCATCTGCATTGACTTTGACTGTGCTGTTATTGTTGGCGGTTTAACATTCATGTTGACAACCTCCAGGACAGCAGCACTAAAGAATTGTTCTGTATTCTGGATAACTACAGACTGACTCAACATGTGACCTACGCATAAAAAGGCACACCCTGGTCTTAGTCTTCTCCAAAGGTCTTAACATTACTATGGTTGTGGAGACCGATTTTCTGATCACAGCTGTGAGAATCCCAAATGTTCAGTAAGAGTTAATCAGGGAATTGTATGTCACTGAAAACACCAGATTTCTTCTTTCTTCATTCAGATTTTCTTTTCCATATTGGCTTGAGTCTCAGTCAGTCATCTTGTAGATAATTTCAGTCATTACGTTATGTCATTGGTGCCATTGCCACCACTAAGATAAAGGGAGTTTCAAAATACACCATGGAGAAATGTCATACTGGTAAAAATGAATAAAACGGAGTGTTGAAAGCTTTGCTTCACGTGCATTATGACATTTATAAAGAGAGACTTTGCATTTATAATTTTTAACTGAGAAATGCAAGGCAGACCTTCTTCTCTGACATCATTGCCAAACACAATTATAACAGACATGCCTTATTTGCTACTGTTGAAAGGCTGACATCCCCTCCTGTGTCCGTAGCCACTGAGCTTTTATCCACTAAATCGTGCAATGACTTTCCCTCATTCTTCACAAAAAAAATTCTGAAGATTTAACAAGCTGTCCATATCGCCACATCAGGTGTTGTCCTTGCATTCACTTAAAAGAAATTCCATGAGTATGATACAGTTTGATCAAATAAAACCTCAAAAGAAATTGTGCAACATCTGAAATCTTCCTCCTGTTGCTTTTTAAGTGTCTCTACAGGCTTTTCTAAAAATATTTTTAACTACCTGGCAACGGATCTTCAGATAGTCAACACAAATCTGCTCTCAGACAGTTTCGACAGGCCCTGAAACCTGCAGTTATTGTAGAAACCTACAATTTAAAAAAACAATGTCGGCAACTCCTTAATGAATAATTACAGACCCATACCAAACTTCCTGTTTTTAAGTAAAATCATGGCTTAAACAATTGTCTTGGGTGTTTTCTAGTCAGGATTTTGTAGTCTTGGTATTATTAAATCTCAGTGCTCATTGGATTAAATAACAATCATTGGGTTGCAAAATCTCCAGCTGGTTCCTGGTCAAACATTTGACTGGGGTTAATGGTATCATGTTATATTTTTAGATACATGTGTTTAAGAAAGGATTGTTGGCTTGGCTCACTCATATTCTCGTGGTGATATGTTCATTGTGTTTCTGATGCAATGATTTCATCCCCCTTGTCTTATGGTGTCTAGTAGTTCATGACTCAGACTGTCACCATTACACACCGGGCAACAATCCTGTCTCATACCAGAGACGTTTTACACTATGGCATTTTTAGTTGAAATTAAACTGGTGCAAAGTTCTTTCTAGCCAATGATGTCACTTCCTCTTGTCATTTACCAAACTGCCACACTTGGTCCATACTGTGCCAACCCAAAAGTCTATTTGGGACGATGATAGCTGCCACGAGATATTTAATTACAACTTACAGGCAGTCACAGTCAGCTGTTTATTTCATTAACAGCCTAAATGTGGCACAAGCAGACACATTAGAAACTCAATTTCACATTACGGACCAACAGAGATGGTAGATTCGTGATTCATGAGTTATTTCAGGTATTTCAGGACGTCATGAAAATTACCTACAGTCCAGAACACCATAAAAGGAGTTTTTGTAGTGTTTTCAAGGTAGATGAAATGTTTCAGACACACAAAAATGGAGTAATTATATCCTTTTGACATTTTTATTAGAATTAGAATCTAATCTAATATCACCCAATTATGTGGAGATTTGACTGGCTGTCAATAGTACTCAGTATACATTAGTATACAACTAATCCTGTCTTGAACCAATCAGTCCCTATAAGGAGACAGTTTCACCTAAAGGGACCCAAGATGATTAGCTATTTTTTTTAAATGTTTTTCTACATTTCTTCTGACTTTTCTGCCCTTTATCATGAAATATGGCTTCATTTAACATTTCCAGCTTCTTAAAAGAATTTGAGTTAATGGATCAGAAGCCAAAAATGTTGGGGACTACTGCCATAAACTGTCACAGTATCAGTGATAAAACACCATATGACAGAGTGCACTTGCTTTTGTATGATAACCATTTTCCCAGGGCACATATTCCAGTCATATAATTGGCCCACTCATAAACTTTCATGAAGCAAGAAGACAGTCCTCGAAAGTTGTAGACACATCTAGAAACGTCTGTCTTATTCCAAGCCTTAATGTGTCAACTGCACTTGATGAAGTCATACCTCTGACATTTGCAGGCATTAAGGTCTAAGGTTAAGTCAACATTAGTAAGCCATTAAACCGTTTTCTGTTGCTTTAACCTGGTTGCATGCAGTGCCAAGTCTATTCTTAGGTAGTGGGCTAATATTTTTCCTTTGCTTCTTTGCCCAGAGATAACTGAGCGGTTTAGTTTGCTTTCTCCGGAGCACCTGTGAGCCTTAGCTGTCGTAACTTTCACTCCTCTGTCTGACTTCTTTACTTTCTAGCTGTCTGAATCAATGAAAGTGAAGTCAAAGCGAAATCTTTCTAGTCTTCACATGATAGAAACATTGTTAGTCATGAGCTCAGGTGTTAAAAGCGACAATAAAAAGCAGCAGACATTTACAGCCTCATGGTTATGATTTGAACTTTCTAAACTCATCAAAATGATCATCTGGTTGCCACACGATAGGGCGAGCCACCTTTTCGTTTGATTCACACTCCTCGCTTAGAGCTTTGATAATGTCAGTATATGTCCCTGCCATTTTACACAGGTTCACCACAGTCACCTTCACACCATCGCTCCATTATTATCTGTCCCTTTATCAGTGCACCATACGGGGCCTCTGCCAAGCTGTGCTATTACTGTCAACACCACTGTTTATGGAAGATTTTTTCAGGTCACCCCTATACATGTTGAGGTAGTTGTACTCCAGGAAAAGCAGATGTGACGTCTATCAGTTGGGGAAAGCTATAGGGTCTAAGCTTTTTAGAAAGTCTGATGAATGACATCCTCTGTAGCAAAATAAATGGAAACAAAATCACTGAAAATGGCCCTGAGCTAGTTCTTCATTGTAGAAACACAGTTGCATCTTCAATAACAAATAAAACTTAAAACATTACTGCTTGTTTGATGCCACCGTCTAACTCTAAATGTTATAATATATATATAATATATTATAGTTTATAATTACAGATTGTGGGTGTTTTGGGAAAATGAAGAGATATAGGTGAAGCCATGGATCAATATAGAGAGCACTGACCATATACTCTACTGTAGGACTTACTGGTAGTCATAGAAGCCAGCCACTTTGCTCTCAGAGGACCTACTTATGCCCTGAAAACAGCTGAACTTAACACTCACTCATGCACACTAGATGCCTTGATCACCTAGGGCCAGAACCAGAGCCCGAGGGATTTTCAGCGTTGCTCAGTGACCTGTTGTGACCACCTGTTTCGGTAGCATGAACTAACCTTCTTCCTCTCTTGTTTTTCTTTCAGTAACCACCTCTCCCCTGTCCACTGCAGACCAGATGTGGTAAAGTAAGTGGACTTTGTTACCCTCACTGTAGTGGCATGAAATGCAGTGTTGTATTTCTTAAATTCTACTTATTATAAAACTGTCATTGAACCATAATGTCGAAAATGTCTTCTCTCCTAACCATTTTTCTTGGTTCTTAAGTTTTCTGGACAGGACGATACGTTCGACAGTGGAGCAGCACCTCTTTGATGTAAATCCTTTAGGGGGTCAAAGTGCAGAGGACTGTCAGTTGACACTGTCTCCAAGTGTGACCCCAACTGCCCGACAAAGACGTCGACACCTGAGAGAGCAACAGGAAGATGAGCTGAGACACAAAGAAAGAAGCAGGTACAATGACACAGTCATGGCGTTGGTAGTTGATGGTACCACCATGAAATTAGTTGCGTTTTGTCTTTAGTCGCAACACTGAAGTGCACTGAATCTTGTTCTCATCACTTCATTTTGTAGCCTGTAATTGTGTCTCATTCATTTTCCCTGATTCTAGTGGGCAACAACTTCTCTGTTTTGGTTTCTATTTCTATTTCTATGGTTTTATTTCAAGATATCGATAATAGAAAAATACCTTTTGTTTTATTGGAATTGTGTTTATTCAAAGATTGTCTTTTCAAGATAGTTTGACAATGCTTGCTTGTCACACAGAAATACGTTAGCTAATTTACCAAAGTTCAGGGAGGTAAGTCACTCAGCATCAGCAATTGCAGAATACTATCTCTTTCAGAAATTATCAGTGGAACCTCGTAAGGTGCATTTGATTTTTTGTAAATGTAGTTAAGACATAAAATTCTCCAGCCAATAACAGGACACTAGAAAATTATTGTATTTATAGTAATGCACAATAAGATGCCATTATTTCTAAAGCTTGACCGCAGTGCCTCACTGCAATGCTACTACTTCCAGTTATTCTGGTAACAGTAAACAATCGTAAGGTTTCACTCTGGGTGAAAAGCTTGTCCACTGAGACACAGTACAGTCATAACAACTGCAGTCATCGCAGTAAGAAGCTAATCCTTGTTGATGGAGATCTAGTAGGGACTGAGAGATCAGTAACACATGGATTAGAGGAGTGCATTAGACCAAAGACAGCAGAAAATGTCAATAAGTGCGTGGACAGTAAATAGACAGTAAATAGAATTAACACTAAAGCTAAACAGCACAGTACCTCCTGGGGAAGATATAAGTAAATGAGGTATCAAGACGACCTTGGCATTTAGTTTCCTGAAGCACTCCACCCAATATGGAGCTGAAAAAGACAGACCAAAGTATGCAACAGAGAGAGTGAGATGGAAGGCAGATCTCTCATTTCCTCACCGTTTTCTGTCTGAGAACAGAGCTGCGTCTATCAGAGCAGACACCAACAAGGAGAACATCCCGTCAAGCAGTGGAAGCAGTTCAGGCAGCGTGGGCGAAGACACAGTCAGCAGCGTAGACTCGCAGGGTGGCCAGAGTGGTCACACTGAGCGAACCTCCAAACCCAGGAAGTCGAAACACAGCCCGACACTGGTGCAGCTCACCGACAACCAGGACGCCCACGCAGTGAGTCATCACGCCTCTTGTCTTCATCTCTTTTTATCTTTGTCATTTGTCACAATCTTGGATGTGTCTCTTGACTTTTCTCTTATAATTGTTGGGTTTTTTGACTTTTTTTCTTTTTTTTGCTGTTTTAGTCGGTCTTTTCTCTCGTGTGATAGGTCAGTCCTAGGAGAAGGACAATAGATAACCTTAAGAAAGCAAGTTTCTTTCCATTTTTTGTGGTATTATCTAGGCTACTTTAGATTGTATTGAACACCAGAAACAAAATTTTATCACCAGTTTAAAGGGCAATCAAAAACATCATCACCGTAGATCCTCTCCTCTAATGCACCTGTGATGCAGATAGGCCGTTAAAGCATTCGCTTATTTCTGACTCACTGCAAATAATTGTCAGTTACAGTTAAGAAGAATCACTAAATGTAGACAGCAGCAAGCTGGAAGATGACAGGAAGCAGTACAGCTGCCTAATGGCTCCCTGCCGTTCTCATTGTACAGTGGCTTGTAATATGCAGCATGTCACACTAATTGTTAACCACTTTTTTCCAGAAGCAGCTCAAACGTAAGGGCCACTTATGAGTGTACAATTAGCTACAGCTTTTATCCAGTGAAGAAGATGCTGCACTAGAGAGCAGCTTGTCTTTTCTACTGTTATCATGTGGGTACTCGAGACCACAATGAACCAAAACTTTGGGTTTGTCGAGTGCTCAGCATTTGTATCATGTAAAGGGGAAATACAGTAAAGTATGTTTTTAATATAGATTGTTTTTATTTTTAGTGTATTTTACTTATTTATTGAAGCCTTAGAGGTTTTATTGTGTTATTTATTGTCTGGGCTTGACAGCTTCCACACTGAGGTAGCTTCTGCTCAGATTGGGTGATTTTGCTCACCATTTCCCTTTCTACCAAGGTATCTTATGTGTCAGGTTGTATAAGATAATTTGGGGCAATGTTACAAATCAGTGAGCAGGATTTACACGATTTTTGCACTGCTTTGTTGAAGCACTCTGACTTTTCAGGTATAGTCCTGCTCACCATTATTGGCATCCATGAAGTTTAAGTACATAATGTGGAATATCTTCTGAAAAAAGTGAATCAAGTGAAACATTTCGGTTCTATAGAGAACTCGTGTTTGATATAAAAGAGCAAATGAAAAACAACAATTTAAAACAATAAACAATGGGAGGAAAAAATAGAAAAACTTGCTGTGTCACTGGTATTGGCACCCTTTGCTGTAAATCATTATGGAAACACATTGTGAGTCACCTGTGGTAAATCACAAATGAGAATCACCTGTGATAAATTGTCTGTGCCCATGTGACATGAATTAGCCAATGAATAATGACTTCGTGTTTTCAAAAGAGATCTGTTATCCCCTGTTCCTTTGTCACAATGGTGAAGACAAAGGAGCTGTCTGAGGACATCAGAAGTGCGATAATTAGCAAACACAAGACCTCCAAAGGGTATAAGGCCATGTCCAAAGACCTTGGTATCCCTGTTTCAACAGTGCGTTATGTTAATAAGAAGTTTGCCAAGCATGGAACTGTCAAGAACCTCCCTGGACGTGAAGAGAAAAGAAAAAGTGATGAGAGAAGTCTTCGAAGGTTGGTGCTAATGGTGGACAAAACACCACGTCAAACATCCAAAGACCTGAAGACCAACCTGGAACAGTCTGGGGTTATGGTTTCAACAACTACCATACGCCGCACACTAAACCAAACAGGGCTTCATGGGCGAAGATCAAGGAAGACACCATTGCTGAGGAAAAGACATAAAAAGTAACGACTAATCTTTGCCAAAGAGTACCTGGACAAACCACAATCCTTCTGGGAAAATTTTCTGTGGACAGATGAAACAAAAATAGAGCTTTTTGGCAATGCACACCAACAGTTTGTTTACAGACGGCGCAATGAAGCCTACAAGGAAAAGAACACCCTACCAACAGTTAAGCATAGTGGAGGATCCATAATGTTGTGGGGCTGCTTTGCTGCATCTGGTACTGGACGCCTTGACCGTATCACAGGAATCATGAAATCAGAGAATTATCAAGAGATTTTAAAGCGAAATATCCTACCCAGTCTAAAAAAAACTTTGTTTGAGTCAAAGATCATGGGTCCTCCAGCAAGACAAAGACCCAAAGCACACATCCAAAAGCACGCAGGAATGGTTGAAAAGGAAAAAATGGACTGTTTTAAAATGGCCAGCAATGTGTCCTGATCTCAATCCGACTGAAAATCTTTGGTAGAGCTGAAATCTGCCATTGGGGAAAAGAAACCTGCAAATGTTCAAGAGCTTGAACAATTTGCAAAGAAAGAGTGGGAGAAAATACCAGCTGAGAAGTGCAAGAAGCTTATAGATGGCTACAAGAAACGTTTGGAGGCTGTCATCACTGTCAACGGGTGTGCAACCAAATATTAAAGAGGTGTGCCATTATTGCTGCACATGCTGTTTTTTTCTGTTTCTTCTTTGAAATTACAATATGTAAGTTGAAAAAACAATTTTCTTTGTTAAATTACTTTGGACCTCCAATTAAAATATCCTGATATAAATTTGGTACATTTCTATTTATTTCTGAAGATATTGTAGAGGTTATGCAAAAAATGAAGGGGTGCCAATAATGGTGAGCAGGACTGTATTTCAAAACAGGGGAACGTCTGTTTTCTGATTCTGTTTCTAAATTGAATTTCCACAAAATATACTGATCAAGATTGTTATATAATATTACCAAATGACTTTTTAGAAAACATTTACTATATGGGAAGTTTTTTTTGTTGAAAGAAAAAAAGGGATTTTGTAGAAACACATGTGTATAGACCTTTGTTTTGGTATCAGTACCAAAATATCATATCAATAAATGCTTGACCTGAAATGTGCCAGATCATTTTATTGGCAACAGTGATAATAATTGATTGCTTCAGTTTTCCAGCAAAAATCCCAAATATTTTCTTGTTCCACCTGTCGAATGTGAGGATTTGATGCCTTTTTAATTATAAATTAATATAAAGGCATTGGACTGTTGGACATTTGGTCTTACAAAGCAAGCATTTTAAAGACATTACTTTGGGCTCTGGGACATTGTGTTGGGCATTTTACACATCAGTACACTAGCAATTAATTGATTAATTGCCGCCCTACTATTTACCAGTATCTATCTCCTGCTCTAGCTCAGCATCCAGGTTAAGTGTACCAGTACGACTAGATAGTAAAATACTTAGTCAGCTACCTCTCGCTTTGCCAACCAAGACTCAGTGAGTCATACCCAACAGTGATATTGCACAGCAAGCGCTCTATACGAGGAGTGTGTGAAAGCAGTCAAATTCACAGCAAGGACATGGTGTGAACCATGTCGCTGTAGTAACATGACCCAGTCTCTGAAGACTCCTCTTACACTACAGCTGCATGAAAGCAAGCTGCATTAATATTCACACTTGGCTCATAATGATATGTGCTAATGTAAAGTTCAACTGCATGGCACGCTGTCCCACCAACCGCCTGATGGAAATAGATTTGTTCAGTTTACACTCTCACACTTGAGGAACAGAATCCCTGGTGCAAACCCCTTATGTAACAGTACAGATCACACACGGTGCCTCGACACACATATGGTATATATGTGATAGGTGGCACAGTCCTGATTGGCTGGACAAGTGTTGCTGAGTGGCTGGCAGCAATGGTTTGATGAGTGAGGGTCTGTATCTCTATCTGTGTGAACAGCCATCTCTGTGAATGTGAGCTTGTTATGTCAAGAGGCACAGAGGGCAATTAGAGGCTCTGAAAGCCTGCTGAGTATTATTTCTCAGGCTGTAGCAGCAGCACAGCATGATACAATACATGCAGTATTTTTTGTTTTATTTGATCTTTTTGATACATTTCAGCCATAAAATCACCTTTTTGTTGTTTATACAGCCATGGCAAAGATGAAAGTTAAAAACATTTAACATGATGTTAGCAGCATGGCTCTATGCATGTCAATCGGTCGGTCCACCACTTTGGTCCAGACTGCAATGTCTCGACAACTATTGGATGGATCTTTCAGTAACTGGTGCAAGAGGCAGTGAAGTTACTTTACTTTTCGGTTCACCATCCACAAAGGTTCATAAAAGCAATCACGGTTCCTTGTTTCATATTTCGTATATTGTGAGCAAGAACTGAATGTGACCTTTTACATATCAGTACTTTATGAGCCTTTGTTTTTGAAAAGATTACACTTCACTGAATAGCTCCAAAATCCTCCTTAACATACCCATGAAAGGTTTAGAAATAAAAGATGATGAATCACGTTTGGATATGCTAATACAACATAGCTTGTCCCATTATGATGAAAATCATTAAATGTGTGTAGATGATTAATGTATGTATACGTCTTTTCCCAGTTAACGGGATGTGTTGGTGAGAGACCTGGAGCAAACCTCATGGAGACATTTCAGAAAGGGTAAGCTCTTCACTTCTCTACTTGATCCCTTTGAGGAATTAAAAAATATATCACTACACATGTTGAATTGCTTTATCCCACCACGTTTCCTATAAACACACAAATTGTAGCATGTGTTACCTAAATGTTTGTTTTACATTGATAAGCAACTGGCTACCACTAGCAGCCCTGTCTGTTATCTTAAGGAATCTGTACACTTTATCTGATAAAGACAGGCAGCAGAGATACAGTTTATGTATTAGTATGTATAAACTGTGTGGGGTTTCCTGAAGTTTCTGACTACTGGAAGATAAACTCTGTTGTTTCTGTTTGATCAGTCGCAGCTTCTTTGCTAAAGTGGTTTCTCTGTTGGATTTTTTAGGAACGACATTTCAAGAAAAGATGGTCTTCCTTCTCCTCCACAGGTAGGATAAAGTCCACAGTTCCTTTTCTATGAGTCTCTGTTTGTTAGGTTGCACATTGTGTTTCAGCTCTCCTCCTTCCTCTTCTTACACAGTGCCTCTGCTCTGCCATGCATGTGCCACTGGAGGAAATTAGAGTATCAGATTTTAGGGCAATGGATATGGAAGAAAGGAAAGGTCTGGGTATTGAATCTCAATACTTTGTTGTTACTGAATAGATGCGTCAGCGACACCTAGTATTAAAACCTGCCAAGTTCCGAAAGCATCAAACGCTCACTCAGATTTGTACTTTTCTTTAAAACAGTTACTAATCGAAAAGATACATTTTAGACTATGCTATTTGGGCAAGTTTCTTGTATGACTGCCTTTGTTTAGACGACATTTAACATTTGGTTTCATTTTTAGAGGAAAATGTTCATATTCTTTCAAATAACGTATAGAAAAAGTGTTGTTTTAGGTATCATATTGGCACTTTTATGATGAAAATGTCATATGATTGAACCATTAGGACAAGCCAGTGCCCTCCATAGTTTAAAAATACAGAAGAATTGGATTTAAAAATAACAAAAAAATGGAGAAATGGACTAAACTTAATAAAAAGCAGTGGCAAACAGAAAAGGAAAGCACTAACCAGAGGTGTTTTTTTTGACCAGTTGTGTAACTAACCTTAACACCATGCTGCTCTCTTACTCGACCCTGTTTTGAAACACTACCACAGAAACTCTGCAGTTCCACAGAAACATAACATTTCAGTTTTGACAAAGGGAGATTTGCTAAAAAGGGATTTTCCACCTATTATTCTTACACAAACATACTGTAGTTTCTTAATCAGCTGTTCAGAACACTGTGGAAATCCTGTACACTTTAGATTTGAAGTTTAGTGTTGCTGTGAGTGTGAGCAGAAGGAAAAAGTCACACTCTCCATCTGCTCGTCTCCACTTTTAATCTGGACCCGCACCGCCGAACAGAATCATGCAGCACTGTACCAATATGGTGATTTTTTTCCTAATCAGCCCAGATGGATTTTAGTGGCAGCTCCACTACCGCCACACTGTGCCACTGAGCGGCCATCTGGAGCCAGTGTGGCGCCGCTATGAGAGGAGGCTGGTGTAGCAGCCTCTCAGCTGGTCATTAAAGCCCGAGTTACAACACGAGCATCACACAGACGTGATTGTTACCATCAGGCCAACTTTGTCTTCCCCTGAGCTGCAGTTATTTAGATTAATTAATAAGCTGATCCTGTCTGCAAGGTTACATGCTGTTAATTTGACTTACATATACAGTATTTTGGTGATCTGGCAGTCATTATGAGGTGTGTTATTTACTGCTTAACCAATTAGTAGATCAACAGAGAATTTATCAACCAGTTTGATAGTTGTTTAAGTCATTTATTAGGCATATTCTCTCATTCTCTAATGTGAGAATATAACTCTTTTCTCTCTTTTATTTAAGTGTAAATTGCGTATCTCTTCGGACTCATTGTCGTCATCATATTTTATAAACTCAATTATTTATCAGTTACTTACTTAAATAATCAACATGTATGATTTAGTTGTAAGTGACTTGTTAAAACACATACCTCTGTCTTGCAGCTTTTTTTATCCCAAAATACACATAGTGTGGGCGTTTATTGCATGTCTCAATATGTCCATGTGTGTCTTGCTTTAGTCCCTGGAAACCGATAGCAAACATGACCCGTCTGTCAGAACATCTTGTACCTACAACCTAAGAAAACTGATAGTGGGAAATGAGGGCTCCAGTGTTTTTAACCAGCTCATGTGTGCAAGACAGCTGCAACACTGACATGTCAATTAAATGCCAAAATAATTACTATAGGAGCTAGGAGCCAAGTTAGTATTGGGTGGTACTGATTTTAAGTTTTTCATATACCGCTATACACACAGCTGAAGCAACTGCTGTAACTCTTCAGTGAGCAGCAATATTGAGTTTGCCGCAAAATTCTCTATGGTCGACACAAACTATGTAGTGTGTATTGAGATGGGAGCCCTATAAACTTAATAAGGGAACCCTTTTTACTAACGGTTATAATTTTATAACACAACAATTAATAACCTACAACTAACTCTTTTTAACAGGGCAAAACACCAACACAACAATTTGTTTCTTCTTTTTCTTTCACTTTGAATACTAAAAAACTTATTGACAGTGACATAAATATTGTAATGTCAGTTTAAAAGGAAGCAATAGTAAAGTGGGTGGCACATCTTTTTTTATCTTTCAGTTCAGTTTTTACGATGTTGCAGGTTCCAAAATAAAAATTCTGCAATTGTTTTAATGCATTTTGATTCCTTTATAAATTGTATTGTATTGTATTGCCAAAAACAAATGAATGAAGACATTCAAATGTTTTTGTATTATGTGTACTCCTGTCAAAATATAAAGGGTTAGTCATGCAAAAAGAATATCGTGAAATCACCAGAAAGAAATACCATGATATTAATGTTTGGTCATACCGCTCCAGAACTACACCCACAACCAGAAATTGGACGTGTATGAGTGCATGTGCTTTGAAATGTGAAGTGTGGTGAAACACATTTAATGGTTTCAGACCGAGGAAGCTTATGTCAGGCTGAATCTTTGTGTGTGTGTGTGTGTGTGTGTGTGTTCAAGGTTATGTGCTTGTTTGTGTGCCATCTCAGCGAAATGCCCCTTAAATTCCTCATTGTATTTGTTTGTACACTGTGTGTGTAAGCCCTGCCAAATACAGCTTAATCATTGTCTAATGCATCTCTCTCATACAGACACACACACACACACACACACACACACACACACACACACACACACACACACACACACAGCTCTGTCTATATCTCGCCCCTCCTTTGCACCAGCTGGAGGTCTCATGATGATGTAATCGTGGCCCGGGTGTGTGTGAGTGAACACAGTGGCTGATGTTCCAGGGAACAGAGTGCACAGTGTGCGTATCTGAACGTGTGTGTGTGCGTGTGTGCGTGTGTGTGTGTGCACGTACATTTGAATTATATTTCTACACAGCAGGGCCGCAGTCAGCTGTAACATCTGTGCTCCTGTTAATCCACAGTGTTACTCCTCAGTGCATCTTGAATTGAGTTGACATTGTGTTGTTTCTACACTGATACCAGTGTAGAAACACTGCTGGTCATTATTGTCAGCAGATTGATCAATCATTTAAAACATGCAGGATAAACTAATCATCAAGTCTTTTATCAAACAGCCCATAATGAGTCATTGGCATATAAAAGGATTTGACAACAAAAGTGGAGAAAACTCTGATCTGATGCATTTTGTGACGACGTGTTGTTCAGTTGCTCTTCTCTCAACATTTCCTACCTCTGAGACTCTTAACGTTACGTAACATTCACCCAGTGGACCTAATCAGTCCATACTTTAATTGCATGATTACTATCAACTGTGCTGGTAACACAAAATACACAACAAAGCCGACACAAGCTGCTAATTAACAACTGAAGAGTTTTTTTTCCTGGGAACTTTCGATATCAGTTGCTTGAGAACAGACAGTCATTATGTTAATGAACTAGAATGTAATGATTAGTCTTTAAATACCTAAAAAAATCTGCATTTGTACACTTTAAATGTGAATTGTTCTTGATTGATTGCGATAAAGGTGTGAAGTGGTACCAAACTTACAACTTAAACACACTAAATGATTACCACTACTAAATGTGAATTTGACAACAACAGAACTTGACATAAGGTCCACTTCCTGGCTTTTTTTTCCGTCTCAGTCCACTGAGGAAGACAGTGATATCCAATTAAAGCTTTATAATGGACTTCTAGTTTGTTGAATTATTACTTTGTTTTGTTTGGACTATTTGGCGCTGCAGTACAACACACACAACAGGTCTATTTTACAAGACATTTTGACATGTCACAGTAGTATAAATAATAAAAATAATGACGGTTGAATTCCATTTAGCTGCTTCACTGTTAGGGTGCCTGTATTGTTCATACTGGCTTACTTGAACATGTCGGAGCCATCGTGCTTTTCAAAATGTCTGCTGTGAATTATTTAACCTGCAAATGTATGATTAACATTTATTAACATTCACATCCATGTGACATATCAATTGCTCACACAGACACACTAGACCTTTGTTTAGTTCCTGATGTGTACTCTTAGAAATACTTTCAGTGTGGTTACTGCTGTTTGTGTGTTTGTGTGTTTGTTTGTTTGTTTGTTTGTTTGTGTGCACACTGGGTCTTGAAGCTCATACATCTGAACATCTCATTCCTCTGAGTGTTGTTCAGAGCATTACGTGTGTTTGGATCTGTAAGGGGACCTTGAATGTTGATTGAGTGAGCTGGTGCAGTATGTGCTTATACACATGGAGGCACTGGGGTAAGGGGTAAGGGGTGGAGGAGGGGGGGTTGAAAACAATGACGGTAAGTACTCCTTGCCGGAAATTTCTGCCAGTCTGCACGTTCTCCGGACACTAATACTACTTTGTATCCGCCGTGGTTCCCATCACATCAAATGTACTCACATGTAGCAGCTAAGGAGACTTTTGATACCTCCCTGTTTAACTTCAGCACAGGAACACACACACACACACACACACACACACACACACACACACACACACACACACACACACACACACACACACCCACACACACACACACACCTGAGACTCATTATGCTCTTACACTGTAATCTCCCATAAAACCTGCCAACAACAACTCCGTATCATGAACAAAAAAAAACAAAACAAGGGCTTTTGTAACCAGATTCAAGTGCACCCCTTCCTGTAAGCCGTCTGTGGCATTTATGAGGTCCAGTAGCAGTGTGTCTTGATCTGTTTTTCCTAAAAATAGCTTGGTCCCACGCCCAGACAGAGGAAATGGGACCCTGTGGGCTTAGCGGCTAAGTGATCCGTGGACACGTTTTAACTGCATGACCAGAGTATGTTGTTTCCACAAATAATTTACATTATGCTGGCATCTGATTACACCACTTTGATCGTGGATACAAAGAGGAGTTGGAGAAAGTTTTAAAGAAAGGGGGGGGGGGGAAGCTGGTGGATGATGGCTGAACAATGTGAGGGAAATAAGAAGAAGAAGTACTGAGGTGCTGGAAGAGAAGGCTTGTGTGTGATGGATCTGCTTTGAGATGAATGTTTGCCTGCAGAGAGAGAGAGAGACAGATAGAGATAGAGATAGAGAGAGAGAGGAAGAAAAAAAACACCCTGTCAGCCTACGTGTACTGGCTCACAATCTGCTTGCTTTTTTTTTTGTCCTCCCCTTCTCTCTCCCTTCCTCCCTCCCTCCCTCCCTCTGTATCACCCCTCCCGTCTGCTCTGGCTGCTGCGAAACAAACAAGTCCAGAGCGGTGCTAGTGGGTGTGTGTGGGGGGGGGGAATATATGCATGTCAGGCAATAGAGAAAAGCAAGGAGGACTACTGTAGAGAGAAAACAAGAGAGGGGAAGGAGGAAGAGAGGGAGGAGGGTGAGGGATTCCAGTGGGTGAAAGACGAGGCGGAGCCAATCCACTCCAGCTCGCTCTCTCTCTCTCTCTCTCTCTCTCTCTCTCTCTCTCTCTCTCTCTCTCTCACACACACACACACACACACACACAAACACACGCACACAAACACAGCCCAAAGGCAGATGGGCGGATGTTTTGGCCAGCAGAGGCAGCCAATCACACGCCGGGAGCCGCCCCCTTCTGCCAGGGCAGGGCCAGTCGAGGGAGTGTGCGGGGCTCAACTTAAAGAGTGTGTTCACGGGGCTGGTCTTCGTTCGTTTGAGAAGCTCTTTTCTCTCTTTCTCTCATGGTTGTGCAGACGTTCAGGATGAAGATCCAGGAGTCGCCCGTCACTTGTGACACGGGGAGGGTCGGCGGAGAGGTGCGAGGCTCGGATCCGGATTGCGAGAAGACGAGCTGCGAGGACGTGCCCCGTCTGGACCTGACAGCGCTTACTGAGGACAACAACTGGGGAGGTGAGGAGGAGGGGGGAGGGCATCCCTGCTGTTGCTTTCATACTTATATATATATATATATTTTTTTTTTACTCTTACATGCAATACTCTTAAATAAGTCTAGAATACACACACATACACACAGAGACATGCCCAGACACCCCACTGGCTGCCCTCCACCCAGCTCTGCACATGGGTGTCTGGGTAGCAGCTGCACACCTTCTGCTGCCTCTCCTCCTCCTCCTCCTCCTCCTCCTCCCGATGCAACTCCTTCTGCTTCTCCTGTAGGATTTAATTGTAAAAAGATCCTCTTAAGTTCTCTAGCCACCTAACGTTATATCTGGAGGAGAAACACTCGCTGGAGACGGTGCTTGTTTGCTAGACTGGGCGAGATAAGGCAGCGCTGCAGACAGTTTGTTGCTGTTAAATTAGACCACATGGGAACCTTGAATCTGCACTCTCCTCATCTCCCAGGAGAAAATATGAAGGTGGAGGCTAAGTTTAGAGCTGTGTTTTTCTTATTTGGTTGTTTGTTTGTTTGTTTTTACTTGGCAATGTATGGCACTGAATTGTTTCCAGACTGAGCTGCTGCTGTAATTCACAGTCTATCAATCATTAAAGGGGAGCTCGAGTAGTGATAACAGTGTGCCAGTCAGCCAGGGCTGTAGTAACTTGGCTTGCAACCCGGAGACTTTATTGATCCTGGTTGAAATCTTCAGACTTTAATAAAAAGTCTCTCCTGGTTGCTCTGTTCCTCCAGGATGGTGCATTCAATGGCTGTCAACATTTAAATGGTTAATTCGCTGATGCTGGCTTATCAAATGTCTGATGCAGAAATATTCGGGAGCATTGCATTATCCACATCTCTCATATCCCAACATGCTCTATTTTTCTGTCAGACCTGTTTTTTTTTTTTTGAGGTTTTGTTATTAATGTGTTTGTGTTATGCAGTGTTTGTGCAGAAAGGAAATCGTGCACAATCGCAGTGCACCGAGACAGTGATTGTTTTGTCAGGACGTTGCGACACAGCGGGGGTTGGGTGGAGGTTTTTCTTTGCTGAGCAGTGAAAGCCAGGCGCTTTATGCTGTAAGTGTACACTGGAATAACAGCCAACAGGTTTGCCCCAAAGGTGAAGTTAAGGAGTTGAAGGGGCATGTTGCGGCATGTTTTTTTGATCATATTTCCGCTACAAATGTTGGTCTTCCACCACCACCAGCGTCGCCACGACTGTTTCCTGTGTGGTGTGGCAGGCGGTGCAAAAAATGTGTTCCATGCAATAAACTTCAACAGCCTCATGTTTGGAGCATTAGCAGACCATTGCATGTTTTGTGGAGCTCTCTAGTGGTCAAATGTGATTATTGAAACATCAGACGCTGTTGTTGCCCTGCTGCATTTGCTGCATGAGAGGAGAAAGGTCAAGTACTTAAATATTGTGCCTGAGCCAACAAAACTGTTGCTTCAGAAAGGTGTGGTGTTAGTTGTTCTGGTTCCCTTGGTCCGCTGTCTCTCATTGTGTGTGCGTGCTTGTAATTAAAAATGCAATTTGCTTGGAGGGAGGATGCAGCTGAGGTTTCTACAGTTTGTTCAGGAAATTAGCTTTTCCAAGAAGCTGTTTGATACCGATACTATTAAAAGTTGTTATTACGTGCCCGTTGTTTTTCTTGGCTTCTTTTGCTTCCCTGTGAACCTCCTTCCTGTACATACTGTCCTGGATACATAAATGAGTTCACGGCGGCGAGGACACCACAGGGTGCCTGCATGATTGGCTGTGACAGGCCGCTTAGACATACAGTGTATCCTTTTTTTTAGGTGCATGAGATGGCGAACAGATCAGTTCATTTGAAGCATGAGAGGGAGCAGGGCTTGGCCATAAGCACAAACTGCAATTGTGTAAATGTATTGTGCAAAGTTGAACTTTAGCTTGCACGTTTTATTCTTCACTAGCGAGAGCCAAAGAGGGATTTATGTTCTGGCAAAATGAGCCTAGCTGAATAAGCAGTTAATAAAGTTTTATAATGGTAGTAAGTACTGTTTAGGGATGTGTGTATACTGTACAGAAGGTGTAATACAGTACAAATGGGGTTGTGGCTGGATTAGGCAGTGGTGTGAGACCTTTGTTCCAGTACACTTTGTGCCAGCGCCTGTCATGGTGACCTGATATTTGCTGCTGCGCTGTCCTTGCCTGTCTGCCAGCGATGGAGGAAAAGACATTAATGGGAATGTAGACAGCGTTAGACGAGACTCTCAGGCTCGTACGTCTCGTGACTTAATTAAGGCTTGTGGGAGATGGTTGTTATTTTGGTTTCCCGTATTTATTGCAACAGCAAGGATGCACGTTGGTCCTTTCTGACTTCTGTTTCCTTGTTTTCTTTCCATCATCTTGTCCTTTTATTACTTCTGTTTCCTTGTTTTCATTCCTTCATCTTGTTTTTTCCTTCTCTTTTCCCCTCTTTTTTTCTTCTTGTTCCTCTAGATTCTCCGTTCTTTAACACCTTCCTTGATTTCAAAAGCATTTTTTATCCAAGTTGTTGTGATGGTAAGTGTAATTTTACATCGCCGTGTGTGCTGACTTGCTTTGCTACAAATAACATGTCAGAGAGAAAGAAAGAACGAAAGAAAGACGGGGCTGTCTGAATGACCTTTTCTTCTGCATGGCAACATGCTTGAATGATCGGGAACACTGCGGTTGAGCATCTCACACACACAACAACCTTTAATGAAATGGCAAACTGGCATGTTTTTTTTTGTTTCATTAGTCTAGTTAATCCTGAACCATCAGCGAGCGGTTGATTTAAAGGATTAATTTCAAATGCCACTGAGCCTCGCTGGCCGGCCACTCCGCTCTGCTCTCTGAGCTAGATAATAGAGCTCAAAGGAAGACATTCAGTGTGATTGAGAGTTTCACCTGCTGCTGTGAGCGAGCTCTAACACGCTACTTGATAAACTGCACGTACCCAGAGGTAGAGGAGGTCTCCCTGGGAGCAGAGCTGGAATTTGAGATAAGTTGCTTCTCGTATGCCCCAGCTAAGAAAAATATGCATGTGCAGTTTTAGACTGGGCGTGCATATTTTCACGGGTGCTTTCTGACACTTTGAATGTTTACACTAACAGTTGGTTTCCTTCTGAGCTTGTTTTCATTCCCTCCATCACTTCTCACCGTGTTACAGGTCTCTCCTTTTCCATGAAATCTACATTATTGTTCCTGCCGAGTCTCATGTTTTTTTCACACATTTTCTATAGTGTTTTCCCTACTTATTTTAACAGTGAAGTCTCTCAAACTATAATTTCTCTGTATAGTCTTTCTCTCATGCACACATGTTTGGGACAGACACACCAACAGAGTTTATCTCTCACCATGCAGAGTGGAAACTACAACACAAACTCATCACTGTACCTCTCAACAGGGGTCGCGCCCTGACATTATCCCACGGAGAGCCAGGCATTATTAATAGCCCAGAGATTGTCAGGGGTATCTGCATGGCTATTTTCACTAGACATAATTATTGCCAGAGGGGAGACTGTAACCAGGGGACGAACAGAGAGAGGGAGGGTGGGCGTGTCTTACCCACAGTTTCAGGACAACATCTGTGACTGTAGAGCCCCAAAGGAAGTTTAGAGAGAGTTATAGAAAGAGCAGCTTCGTTATGTCCAGTAACTTTCACAACGCCAGAGAGGATCCAAAAAGATGTCAGCAGGGAGAGAAATGACCTTATAGTGTCTTGGAAGAGAATAGGTGCTTATCTTTGGAAAATTCATATATTATTGGACTTTTTGTTTGAAAGCTTTGACCCGTCTTGTAAAACAGATTCTAGCAGGAAATAATAGTCTGGTTTCATTTTGGATTTGGATGCAAGTTGGCAAAATACGCCACGGTTTGTCTGTTTATGTAACAGATTGCTCTTTTTTTATGAGCAAACCTAGAATATAAATCTAGATTAGAGATCTGATAGTAATTTTTCTGGCTGGTTATCAGTTATGAGGATTTTGCTGCTTGTTTTTGGTCCTATGTGATTAAAAAATACCTTTTTTTTCTAGTCTTGGTCTGACAATTCGAAGAGCCTTGGGTTATAAAAAACTGTGATCAGTATTTTTTTAGCGCAAACAATTAATTGAATAATCGAAAAAGATAATCTGCAGATTAATCAATAATGTTAGTTGCAGGCAAAATCTAAATAACAATCATCCATTTAATTATTCAGTCATTTAAGAGCAAATAAGTAACTATACTATACTATTTTATTTGTGCACAAACCGGTTAGTTTTAGTTATTTTAAATTAAAAATGAACCCAAATCAATTTGATGGAAGGATATAAAAGGCTTCTGAGTCAATAAGCAGATTTGATCCTGGATTTATAGTTTGAACTCTTCAACTCAAGAGGAGACTGCATTTCATCCCGTTATTCTGTTGCCACAGAGCTCTCGGGGATATTATGGTGAATCTGCGATTGTACTGCGGCGAGCTATGTGTCGTCTGGCGGCCAGCACGCACCGCAAAAACCAAACAAGATCCCCAAACTAACCTGTCCCACGTTTGCATATCTTTTGTTTACACCTTCTCTTCGACCACAGAACAAGCAAAGTGTCATACTGAAACACAAGGGGTGTTTGTTTCTGTGCCACTCAGAACCAGTCCCAGCGTTCCCGTCACTGCAGAGGGAGAGCATGGACCGCGAGGAAGCTCGGCTGTCCCCTCACGCTGGGGGACGCCTGATCCGCCAGCTGCTGGAGGAAGACAGCGACCCGATGCTGTCCCCTCGCTTCTACGCCTACGGACAGTGCCAGCAGTACCTGGATGACACTGAAGTGCCTCCTTCACCACCAAACGCACACTCATTTGTCAGGTAAAACACATGACATGGTTGTTGTTGTTTTTTTTTTTGCTATGTAGAGGCAGTAGGAAGAAGGTGCCAGTGACATTAACATTGTTATGAATCTTTCCAGCCGCAGACGCAGTTCGTCTCTTGGATCCTGTGACGATGAGAAAGAGGAGCTGACATCCGCCCAGCTCACAAAGAGGATCCACATACTGAAGAAAAAGATCCACAGGTTCGAGGAGAGGTTTGAAGAGGAGCGGAAATACAGGGTAGGTACAGCAGTTTTTTATTTTACCAAATTAAAGATATATGAAATATGACTCATTTAGACTCATGCTTGAGAGAATATTTAATTATGTTGTATTGCTTTTTTCCTCCATCCAGCCCTCCCACAGTGATAAAGTTGCAAACCCAGAGGTGCTGAGATGGGTAAATGAACTGGCCAAGCTTCGTAAAGAGCTAAAAGGTAAGACATAGGCATGGACAACCATCTTTAAACCCAACTGTTTGTAATGAGATAATTCAAGATAAAATGAACTAATGTGTATTTTTCCTGTTTTCTCCTCATCAGAACACAAGCTGATGAAGTCTGAAGAGGACCTGCCGCCTCTGACCCGTCAGCGCAGCAACACGCTGCCCAAAAGCTTCGGCTCTCAGCTGGAGAAGAAACCCCAGCAGGAGAAAGTGCCGAAGCCTCCGGTGGAAAGCACCCTGGAGACGATATCGAAGAAGCTGCAGGAGAAGAGAGAGGAGGTGAACCGCCCAGAGGATATCAAGGTAAGACCGTGACCACGTTACACGCTCACAAGGATGAGTAAATAAAACATAGACAGACGTGTCCAGCAAATGGATGTTTCATGTAGGATAAACAGCATCAATTTTAAAGCAGGCAGCAGAGCTTGAATTTATTATGGTATGTGTGTGAAGGAGCAACAGAGTTGCAACACAGAATGAACCCAGGTCATTTCTGAAATGTTTTTGACCCACTTCCTGTTCCCTCCCGCTCACAGGATATGACACGGGAGCAGATCGGCGCAGAGAAAGTCGCCCTGCAGAAAGCTCTCCTCTACTACGAGAGCATACACGGCCGACCAGTGAGTCATCCTCCACCTCCAATCTTTTAAATAATCAAACACAGATGCATGCAGCTTCTTCAAAAGGGGCCGATCCATACTGTAGATCTGATCTCCTGCCAGCCATGTTGGCCCGAGCACAGAAAATCTTATTTACCACTCTATTGTGACCCAGATTGCAAGTCAAGAGTGAATAATGTCTCAAGCCAGAGTGTGTGTGTGTGTGTGTGTGTGTGTGTGTGTGCATCTGGTTAGCTTCCACAGTGTGTGTTTTAGCTAATTACTTAAAGAATGGGTGTGTTGTTTTTTTTTTTATTTATTTCATTGCCATTTGTGACATTGGAAAACAGAAAGTTTGTCATTTAAAGGCCCACTCTGCCGTAAAACTGCACCGTGAAAGAACTGGCACACACTTTGTTTGATGTCGTATCCAATGGGAATAATTGCGCCGTCTAATCCCTGCTTGCATTGTCGTATATCGGGAAGTGCAGCTGACCTTTCTGTCACCTCCATCCCTCCTCGCGCTGTGGTTTGTGGTTAATGACCGTTAGGCTCTGAAGGGTTGTTATGGGCCAGTCTGGGTTAGCTGTCATTTTGTGTTATGTTAGCGCAGTAGCTAGTTAGTCTGCAGGGAGGCAGTGGATGGCAGAAATAAGCTCACTCTGTACTAACAACGTGCATTTGTTTCCCTCATTTTTTGCTACTTTAGGTCACCAAAAGCGAGAGGCAAGTCATGAAACCCCTGTACGACAGATATCGCCTGGTGAAGCAGATCCTCTGCAGAGCCTCCACCATCCCCGTCATTGTAAGTACCGAATCTTTAAACCTGCCTCCATCTTTTGTCGCCCTCCACAGCTGCCCGTTCGTCCTGCCGCTCTTTGACACGCGAGCGGCAAAGATCGCCACATTGTCCGGACGTCTGCAGACACTTAATCCTCTGCTCATGCTGGCTTCAGTGCCTGTTGTGGGAACCAGTGGCAGCCGTGCCACAGACGTGTTATCCACCTTTCAAGGCTCTAAGTCTAGCTTTAGCAGCTCAGTGAATCCCCCCCCACCCCACCCCGGGCCTTAAAGGAGCTCATAGGTGGCAGATTGAGTTCACAGGAAATGACATCACGAACAGCTGAGTGCAGTAAAGGGTCAAGTTTTAGTCAACTTTTCTGTGATATAAGGACTTGTTTGCCTGTTATAGTTTAGTTCAGTGTTCTGAGCTATTTAATAACCATTTCTATTATGTAATATATGATCTGCGTTATGAATCTACTGTACATATCTGTTATATAATGCACTACCTCTAATCCCCATTATGCAAATTGGAAGAAGTCACCGTGCAGAATTTTTATTAACCCGGAAAGGTCAAATGATGCTGGAGTGGACTGCAAATTAATGTTTTTTTTCCAGCTTTGACCCCGTAACAAGCACAACTCATTGCCTTTTGTTTTGTACCTAAAATATGAGGCGTAACCATGGAGACATTTTTTTTTTTCTTGGCAAGTTTTTAATTTATTTTATTTATATTCAGTTTATTTACTCTTAAAATGGTTTACATGGTGAGGCTTCAAGTGGTAGCCATCTCAAATAAGTCACCTAACACCAGTCGTGGTTGCTAGTTGTTGACTAGTTAGAATCAAGTTAGATTTTCAAAGTAAATGTCATTTGGACATCTTGTGGTTAAAGTGTTAAACTGGAAACCGAAAAATCTGCTGAGCTTCAGCTCCGATTTAAAGTTTAGACGCAGAATTTGTTGAAAACTCGAAGGGAAATCTGGCGTTTTCTCGTGGCCTTGCTGTAAATACCAGAGTGAGCGTCTCAGCGTGGTTAACGCCTCCTTCTTAACCGTCACCACAGGGCTCTCCCTCCAGCAAGCGCAGAGGTCCCCTCCTTCAGCCCATTATCGAGGGCGAAACTGCACTCTTCTTCGATGATATCAAGGTGAAGAGCTGCTGCTGCTTGAATAATCAGTCGCCAGCTCCCCTTACCCTGCCCGCCCCCCTCCCCCCTCCTTATTTAACTACCATTCACCCCTCTAATGAACCTGATTGCTGCCTGTTGATTGGGTAGTTGCCTGTTTCCTGCCACCAGCGCCGGTAGAGACGTTGAATCAGTAGCTGCCTGGATCTGATGTTTGAATCGCTGTGATTTTTTTAAATAGAAATGTGTGCGCAGAACTTTAGAGGATAATTCTTGTTTATCACAACTTGGGTCTTGTTTTTATAGTTTCGGCCATCATTTCTAGTAATAATATCATTGTACTTAGTTACCAAGTTCAGTTGCGAGATCAAGTAACAAACTAAATTGGAAGAGAAGACCCCAAACCCCAAACTACCCATTTTTACCCAGAAATTCTAATTTCATTTGAAAATGTATCCACATATATGTATTTATAAGGAAAACAAACAGCCAAATAGGATATCAAAGTGGGGATCTTCCATATATTTATTATTATTCATAGTAGCTAGTAATGGATGAAGGATGCACAGGAACAACCTGAGTCAGTTCTTGCACCTTAACACAGAGTTTAAAAACCAGTTAAATTAAAAGCTAAAATTAATGGATGAATGGTAGAAATGTCCAGTAGTAGTACAAATGCAAACTTGAGGCTTGCATACAGTAAGCAAAGTCATAGTAACAATATCCACTTTTATATTACTAGTAGTGTAAAATAACATCCAGTGTCACATACGTCTGAGAACTGCTAGTTGAAATATTCCAGATAAGTTTGAGTGGTGTTTACATCCTGTCTGATCATCTGTGAGTTTGAGGGTGTAATAAGAAAAAGAAATGATGTTAAAAACTACAAAAATAAGACCCAAGCTGTAATAAACCGGAAGGATCCTTTAGTAGTGTTTTGAGACAAACTCTAACTGAATCATTTTGCTGGATATGTTGACAGTTTGTAGTGGGTTCAGGACTTAAACATTACATAAAGTTGGTTGTTAGCGGACTGTGTGTCTTCTAGTTGACTGCCTTCATTAACTCCATCTATACATACTAATAAGTATAGACATGAATCACAAAACGAAGGCCGATGGAAGTGCATTGTGCCGCTTCACCGTGACGATTTATAACCATTGATGACTAACACTGCACGATCTCCACGCACTGCAGTGTTTGAGCCTGGAAGCCTGGATGGTTTTAACGCCACAGCACGATGTGGCCGCTTCCACCCTCGGCCACTGCTTGACCTCTTTATGCCCCTGCAGGAGGAAGAGGACGGCTCGGAGGACGACGGAGACTCAGTGAAGACGCAGTTCACTGTGACCGTCCGGCCCGACGTCAGCGTGCTCAGCTTCCTGGACCACATGGACGAGGAAGCGGACGGTTTCATTTCGCCCGTGGACGAACTCTCACCCTCTAAGAACACGACAGACATGAGGCTGTCCAACCTGCACTCCGCCACCACGTGAGTCACGACAACCAAGAGTGCCCTCACATAGTAACAGTGGTGGAAAGTAACTAAATTTACACAAGTACAGTTTTGAACTACTTTACTGGAGTATTTCCATTTTATGCTACTTTATACTTCTACCTCTCTACATTTCAGATAGAGTTTAATTTTTTTGATTTCTCCTTTCAACTTCTCAGTTTCATTTAAATACATTATCAAGGTACCATATTTCACAAAAAGCAAAGTTTATAGGAAAATCCCCCAAAATCAGCAGCTACAAGAGTGAAACACTGATTATATATAAATATATTTATATTTATATTTTTTTCAGTTTCATGCTGTCTGTCTTAAAAAGTCTAAAATCCAATTATCTGAATTTAAGGCCTAAATATGTCCTATAAAGTAATTTTTACAGGTTTAATATTTAGGTATTTATTGGGTTAATAACGTTGCATCTTTCAGTCTCGCTTTTAAATGTTTTTTGGGGAAAAAACAACTATACAAACTACATCTACAAAAGGAAACCAAAAGGAACCAATACAGATTAAATTTTTTGCCAGTATGGAACGTGAAATAGATCCTAAATTTCATTATTCAAAAAGTCTTAAATTTAACTTGTTGAAACCTGCAACAACCCTGTACCAAGTAGGATAAAGTTTGAGTTTGCATGCAGGGTTTTTCCTTGTGGTGAACATGAGTTATTTTTATATTGTTGTACTTCTTCCACCACTGCATAATAAGCCTTCAACATATTCCAGTGTGAGATACTAAAATATTTCTACTGTTTTCTCTTACAGGCAGGAACTTGTGGAGCAGCTCCAAGAGGCCCGTGAAGAGAAGAAGAGACTCCGCAAGGACCTGAAAGAGTTCGAGGACCAGTTCTTTAGACAAAATGGAAGGTAAAAAGAAGAGGAATTTGCTCAGATTACATAAGAGAGTGGACAAAATGAGCAGACATTCACATCGTGGGTTTTCCACTGCTGAACCATCGTCCGTTTCTTAATGTTTGTTGTGTTGTTTCCATAGAAATGTGCAGAAAGAGGACCGCTCCCCGTTGGCAGTGGAGTACAACGAATACAAGCACGTTAAAGCCAAACTGCGGCTGCTGGAAGTCCTCATCAGCAAAAGAGACTCGACAAAGTTCATCTGAGAACAAATAAAAGACTCTTAAAAAAAAAAAAGGACCGATGCTTAGTCTCTAGAGATACAGTCAAACACATCTCACCCTGCTGGAGAGAAGATCTGATTTTCCCTGTCGCTGCCGTCTGTGCTGCTCCCGGCTTCTGACTCGTAGGGAAAAACGGGTGGTTAATCCGATCCGTCGACCACAGCGGGGGGTTTTTTCCCCTCCAGAAGCCTGCGGAGATCTGCCGACCTGCGACTGATTCAAAGTGACACCAAGTCACCTGCTTCACCTGAGAAGTGCATCTCCAACCAAACCTTACATTCACAAGAGGACAGTTATTTTTCCCAATGACTAAGCAAGACGCACACAAATAACCTGAATCACACTTTTATTGCTAATAATTTATTTCTATCTTTTTGAATGTTTTTATTGGAACGGAGAAGTTATTATTGTTTTCTCACGCTTTACTGTAGAAGTCTTAAAAAAAACAATGTAAGTAAAAAATAATAGATATAAAATTATTGCTATTTTTAAAAGAAGGATTTTGCGATCAAAATGTTTGTGTATTTTTTTAAGGGAGACGTTACTGTTTGTGTAACTTTAATCAGCTTAACAGTATTCACTAAATGAATAGCTTTCTCTATTTCAGTTCTAACCATCATATAATGTCTGAAATAATCTTATGTTGCTTCTCTAGAAGTTAAATCGAGTATTTGCTCACTAAAAGAAGTGGTTTTGAATTGTAATACAACCCAAAGACAGTGACTCAGAGTACAAACTGCGAACCAAAATAGTTCATATTCAGTAAAACAGCTTATTTTTGTGATCACTGGTACTTTTTCAAGCATCTCACTGTATATTTTATGCATTGACGTGCTTTCCCCCCTCCTCCCATTCACTTAATGTCAAATAAGCTATTCCTTGTCTTGGAATCACTGGTATGTTTTTGCTCACGATGATGAACATCGACACGGACGTTTTGTGAGACGACTCTGGAGGACAGATATGACGCTAAAAGCTTGTTTTCCCAGCAGTCTTTGTTTCCCTCTCGTTCTCTCCAGAGTTCGTTTTTTGTTCTTTTGTACATTGGATCACTGTGTATGTTTACATTTCTGTGAGCGAGTACATTTTTCCTTTCTTTCTCCAAAATGGATGATTATCAGTGTGAATTTCGTTTTACTGAATGTAAACACTGGCGAGGCTTAATGAATTTTGAGTGTGTACATTTTAGTACATAAATTGTATTTGTATTTTGTATATAATATGAATGAAATCATATTTTTACTGAAATTCTGGGCTGTGTGGATTTTTCTTTGTGTCAAACTTCATCTGCATCATTACAGTACATAACGGTTGTCCGAGTCATAGTCCAAATCCTAAAGATATTCAGTTTACAATGATATAAAAGCAGGAAATCCTGTCATTGTAGGTGCTGATATTTTACTTAAAACATTATTTAAACAATTAGTCAATTATAAAAACATGTTGCAGGTTAATTTTCTGTGGATCCATTAATCAACTAATTGTAATACTGTTTATACATGGACATGGTTTAGAGCCAGAAAAAAAGCATGTTTGGATTCATTTCTTCTTTTTGGGTTGTTAAGTTCTGCAGAAACGATGAAAACATGAGCCTCAGAGCTGTACTGACCATCAGACAGTCGACAAATGATAGCATGTTTACATTGCTGTTGATGGTAGATAACATTAAGAGTTAAGTCTGCAGCAAAATGAAGTTCTCGCAGAAACATGAAGCAGCGAGAATGTTATGCAATTGATCTGCAGTCTGCATAAACATCCAACAGTGTAGTCATGCAGTGTTTGCATCACTTGAACTGAAGCACATTTTCTTGACTACGAATAATTTCAAAAAGGTCCAGCAACTCAGGGATGTGTCCTCGCATGCGCATGCAAACACACATCATTTGGACTGTGTTACATTTGAGGGATCAGCTGCCAAAGAGAAAAAAAATGAAAGTCAGACAGATAAATACCTTGAGTAGACCTTGTTGCTGTTTCTAAACTTATATAAGCTTCAGTAGAATAAAAAAGTGCCTTTTATTTACCCACAAACACACACTGATAGCAGCACCGAGGTGTATTGGGTCCAAAACCTTCATCCTGAGCCAAAGCTGCAAAATGTTGAAGATATTTCTATCTAATAATGCAATCATGAAACATGCAGGAAATGTGCTTTTACACTGTATTGTTTTATTTAAAAAGTTGGCTGGAACAGAGAGCTTTGTGTAGATTTCAGACAAATATGCAAAAATCACATTTTCAGTAGCACATTAAAAGGTGCAAAAAAGTCGAGGGCTGCACAAACCTTTGCATAGGACTAAACTCTGCAGGAGGAATCAGCTTTAAATTAGACAAATATTGACTGGACATGTAGAACGTGTGTGTACATGCAGTATAGAGCTAAGCAAGAGAATGAACCGTCCTAAGAAACATCTCAGAAGAGTCCAGTGTTTAAGACCTTTAGAAGAGTAACCCAGAGTTATCACTAGTACATTACTGGGCTGTTTCGGGTTGTTATTGCTAAATGGATGTGTCAGTGTGACCTATTAGTCAGGACACATCAAATCATTTACTGTCTGAAGTCACTTGGACACCACTGTGTATGAAATATATAAAAAAATATATATATAATATATATATATATAATATATATATATATATATATTATATATTATATATATATAATATATAATATATATATATATTATATATTATATATATATAATATATATATATATTATATATTATATATATATATATATATATATATTATATATATATATTATATATATATATATAATATATATATAATATAATATATATATATATATATTATATATATATATATAATATATATATATATATAATATATATATATATATATTATATTATATATATATTATATATATATATATAATATATATATATAATATATATATATATATATATATATTATATATATATATATATATATATATGCAAGACCATTTCACACACTTCACGCCAATGCACAACCTAATTAAACATTTTGGATTAAGAGGTTTGACTGTATACAGCAGCAGGGCAAGTTTTGGAACAAGTCATATGATAGATACAGTTTATCAACTGAGTTTATATTCAGAGTATTTAATAAGTCATCTGCTCACACTGTTAAATACGCACTTATTGTGTTGTCCTGCCACAAATGTCACAATTTAAGTATCTGCAACTTGGAAACAGCTAATTACAATTACTAATTTTTGAATGATTATATATTACGTTTTATAGGACATTTGGGGAGCGTTGGCGTACTCCTTTTGTGGTGGAGAGTTAGCATAGCGTTAAAGCTAACTAATTAGCATGTTGTATCTCATTTGTTTCATCGGTACAAAAAAGTGTAAAAAAAACAATTTGTGGTGTTAGACGGGGGTTATGTGACAGTTATTCTTGGCTCTCAGTACTTCCCAAGCAACCAGACTTATGCTGTATTGTGTGACCTTCTTATGCCATTGTGGTGTGGCACCATGTTAGGTAACAGCTATCAAAATAAGGTAGGCAATAAATAATAAATAAATTAAGAAACGTTTACGGTGACCTTGCCAAAATTCCCTTCCTTTACCAGAATCTTATGGGAATACAGAATACGGTGTAACACCCGTCCCAGCCAAGAAATAGTCGAGCACTCTCTGTAAAAATGCGAATTATTATTTTTTACACAAAGGTTTTCACGAATTAAACAAACAAGATATAACATTTTCACCAGAGAGCTTTAGAGTTGTTGTTACAGTCTTTGTGCAAAGCTCAGCTAACAGGCTGCTAGTTGTTTTCACCTTTTCTATATAAAAGTGAATCTTTTCATCTAACTCTCCGCCACAAAGCTAATAAGCCATTTCCCAAAATGTTAACCTTTGAAATGACAATCAAGTTATTTTTTTTTTTTGCTTTCACTCAAGAACATGCACACAGACAACAACCACTACAAATCAACTTTTAAACTCAGCTTTTCATGTAGGTTTTGCTGTAGAAGGCAACACTGTTGAATGCAGGTTCTAGACAAAGTCAGCTGCTCTGTGGTCCACAGCTCAAAAGGAGAAGAAACAAAGGATTGCAAATGATATTCACCATGTCTCACCCTGCAGCCTTCTGCCTGCTGGACACTCTGCCATTGTCATTCTTTAGTTTCAGGCAGAGAGGACATGCTGGTGTCCAGATTTAAAAAGGATCAGCGGCGAACACTCCTCCCAGTATCACGGGTAAAGATTATATTCAAAGTGCTATTTACATACATATATACACATTTTTTATTTTTGTCAAAAAATAACCACTCTATTTAACAAATTAAAAGTAACAAAAAGCAGATATATTGTCTCAATATAAGAACATAATTATTTAAAGGTGAAAAATAGAATTTAAGGAGTTGAATATAAAACACACAACTGTGCAAAGAAAAGACCAAACTAAAACTATGCAAACACCAAACGTGTTTCTCAACCTTCACTCGTCTTCGATTTCAGGTCCCAAATTAGTTTTGATCCCAGGTTGTCATGTGAATATAAGTCCTTTTTCTGTATTCTTTTTCTTTTTTAATTTCAGGAATGTCATATATTTCAATTAAACATTTCACAGCGGCCTTTAAAATATCTTCCAAATTGTCCTTAAAAGGTTGAGAAACTTTGCTCAAACCAATAAAAACAATAATACTCTGCATTTACATACATAGACCTTTCAGGTTTCAAGACGCTTAATCTTGTAAGAGCATAAAAAGAGAGTTTCCTTTCTGTGTCCCGAGGTCCCCCATTACACTCTTTTGACACTGACATGGTGGTGTATTGCTGTTAAAGTGCATTAAGACTGCTGCAGATCTCCCGTCCTCAGACCAGGCTGAAGCCCTCGTACTGCTCCACAGCCTGTGTGAGGCGGCGGCGCAGGATCTCTTTGGTCTGGTAGCGGGGCATGTCGAGCAGGTTGTAGCAGGTGTGGGCCACCGGCAGGTAGTGCTCCTCCGCTGTTGTGGACTGGATGACGATGCGCATGCTCTCCATGCCGTGGATGGGGATCCGGTCGCTGCCGGTCAGGAACACTGCAGGCAGGAGACACAGGAGGACGGAGGAGATAGAATCAACTACTGGAGAAGTGTGAAAATGCTCCTACCCTCCACTGCTTACACGGTAAATGGATGCATTTATATTATATTATTACACTGTAAATTATGTTTGGGGCTCTTGTCCAAGGACACTTCGACATGTGGACAAGAGGAACTAACTAGGCATCGAACCTCTAACCCTGTGATTAATAAACGACCCGCTCTACTTCCTCAGCCTCTTTGAACTAAAACTGATATAGGACTTTTTTTCCCCAGGCCAATATCAATATAAATATTTAAGAGTTTTAAAGGGCCGTTGTGTACGATTCAGTGACATCTAGTGGTGCCGCTGCACAGTGCAACTCCCTCGCTTCATCGATTTTTGTTTAGCAGTGTTGTAAACTGAGCACTATGATGTTGGATGTTACAGCGACTGTCATAAATACAAATGCAGTTCTCACTGTTCCGGTTGCATAAAAAAGGTAAACTTTTTTTACTCAGGTTTTATTCATACGGTGGCGTCTTCTTTATACTATGACATGGATTTTATTATTTTTTTTAAACTTAACACAATATACTGCCTAGCTTACAGTATCTCAGTATACTGAATCGTAACCCTGTATTGTGATACGTATCATACCGCCAGATCCTTGCCAACACAATAGCGGTTCAACATGGCGTCCGCCACGGACGACCGAATATAAACATTCAAACATTCACAATGTTGGAAAATCAATGCAGGAAAGTCCCTAAATCCTCTGCCCTTTTGTCCTTCACACAAGTCTATAGAATCTCATGTGAATAATAATGATATAAAGCTCTTGAGATTATTGTCAACATATTCATGCAGCGTGTGCTGACAGTATATTACAGTATATTCTCATGCAGGAACAATCTCCACATTATTACAGTCTTTATAAGATGTTTAACGGTGAGAGCGTGTGAATTAAACTGTCATGCAGACTGAACAATGAGGCAATTAAATGCTTACATAAGAACTGCTTCTTCTTCTCAAGAGGGAACTCGTGGAAAACCTCCCAGAACAATCTGACTGTTGGATGAGTGGCTGTATATTCCCCTTTGTAAACAGCATTCTGCAAAGACAAAAGATGTGGTGATGAAAAGCTTTTCCCTTGTTTTATCATTACTACACCGTCTCCTCTCTGGCAGTGACATTTACACAGCGTGAATCAGTACAACAGAAATAAGTGCATGTATCACCTACTGCATGAAAAATGTAAACCAATAGACTTCTCATGTTTGCCTTGATTTCTGTGATATCTCACATAATAACAATTCCTCTTAGGTTTTCCCACTGATGTGATGTCCTCTGTACAGCTGATATCACCAGTATAATATGTTAAGTGCCAAGACCTCCCATCTTTGTCCCAAGCTACAAAATAACCAAAAGATGTATTTGTTTGGATGCGTTGTTTCAGGGTGCCTCTTTAACATCTGGCCACGGACGACAGATGAAAACCTTTTAGTCTAGTTCTGTTTTCTTTTTTCTCTGTTGATCAATGAGCACTGTCCCTGTCAAATAAACTAATGAAATAAAATTAAAATATGGATTTTATGTTTTCAACTTAAATATATATCGTTAAGTTATTTGCTGTAATTTTAGTGATCTTACATTATCCTTCTTCATATTTTTATCCATTAAGTTTTGAACTCGAATGCAAACTAACTCCCATCAGCCTCAGCTGTACTTTGTGTTCAGTGCTAATTGTCAAACGTTACCATACCAAAACTCTGAACTAAGATGGTTAAACACTGCTGACGTCAGCTGCCTTAGTACAGCTTCACAGAGCTTTCTGGTTTATAAAAGAAGTTATACGTGTCCTCAAAATAAAACTCCTTTAATGTGCTGAACACAAAGAAATAAAACTGAAAAAATCTTCCCAGTCTGTGAAAGTTACCATGATATCACCAGTGTTAAGAGTAATGTACTCCCTTTTTTGTCCTTTATACTGTGAGCACTGTGACTAACTTGCCAGATGTTGATGATGTAAAAGTCAAATTTCCAGCTTAGTCCAATGAAACATGATCATCATCACATCCACAACTATCAATTTGCAAACACTTGCGTCACTGAGGATTTGAGGATTTCTACTTACAGTCATTCTAATCCAACAATGAGAATTATATGTGTCCACAAAATTGAAACAGGAAAGGGTTTGTAATTTCTGCTGCACGACAGTAAATGTGTCCCGAATAAACAGTTTGCAGCACATGAGAACTGTTGGATACATTTCTACTACAAACACTACTTACAGTACAGATTTTTTTTAACCACATACTGACCTTCTCCATCTCCTCCCAGTTGTAGTTGTTGTTGCCGACCACCATGGCCATCAGCTCAGAGGGCTGGAACAGCGACAGGATCTCCCCCCCGCACACCTTCAGGAAGCCAGCGGAGAAGGCCGAGTACTGCTCACTCACAGAGTCTGAGAACACGTAGCGCAGGTAGGCCTCCACAAACTCCTTCCTGAGACGCACACACAGACACACACACAGTTCAGTAAATATTCAGATCATTAATTTGTTCGGCACAGCAGCTGCATCCTCCCCGACTTAATTTATAAGGAAAGAAATTATTCAGACTTCAAGGTGTGACTGTAAACACTCGCTTCCTCCTCCATTGTGTGCTTGCGGGACCAACAATCTCCAGCCTGATCTGAGTTTGTTTACATCTCAGCGAGGTTGTACTGCACAAGTTGCTCAGGTAGATTAAATCGATAATCTCCTCAACCCAGCTGGCTGCACCTGTGGAGCAGCTAAACATTGTCTAAGCGAGCTGGAGTTTATTTAAAATTTTAGACAAACTCTAGAGTACCGACTCCAGCCTGAACCAGGAGGTGATGGTTAATTTAAAATTCCAAACAATCCCACTCTTTCACTGCTCTCACAAAATAAAAAAACTTTTTGTTTACACACAGAAATGATGACCTGCTGTTTTACACACTGCCAGAGCATCCTGTTAAAAGAGGAAAAGCTTCAAAAAAACAGAAGCAAGATGCTCCAAAAATATTGTTTTACTGAAATTTAAAGAAGTGAATTGAGCTACAGGGAAGAGAAATTCTGCTCTTTAGCTTCGTGTAACAAACCACACATAGAGGTGCTTGCTCCTTGGACGCCTGAGTAAGCAAGTAAAACAATACTGTCCGTTAAAATAGAGTTTGAAAACACTCACACAAGGACAAACTAACCTTCAGTCTGAATCAACATCTCTCTTTCAGTGTGTGTGCTTGGGGATGTTTTACACCACAGCAACAACCATTTTCTCTATTATTTATTATTGTTGTTATTACAGTTTTATATCTGGGTGTTGAGGGGATTTTGCAGGAACAACTTGGACTGCTGCTCTCACCATCTGTTCAGCCCCAGCAGCCAGACATGTTGACACCACCCACCCCACAACTCTCTGTGGACTCCTCCACATAACACTGTAATCAATGCCACTGGCACAAGGATGAGCTTAAGAAACAGGGTGTTGATGATGGAAAAAAAACACACACTCAGGAATGCTTAAAATACCTAAATCAATCTTTGTTTTCTGTATTTTCAACACATGAACATGACCTTCAGTTAGGACAATAGGCCGCGAGCTGCCAGCTGTGTGAGCACATGATAATCTCAGTGCTGGGGGACAAAAAAATATTAAAAAACCTGTTTATCTTCCTGAAAGAACAGAGTGTAAAGCATTACAAATATTCATAAAACAAGGTCATTTCAAACAGGACATTGAGTAAAGCACCGGTTGATGAATTTATTCTTAATATTGTTGCCTGTAAACTATGGGCAGTACATATTTGATCTGTCAGGCTGCCTCACCTGTTGTTTTTGTCCACGCTGATGCTCTCTCCTCCAGGGATAAGCTCCTTGACTTCTGTCATCCCGTAGTTCTCCCTGGTGATCTGAACATGATGCGAACACAACAAATAGCCTCAGATTGGAGTTTTGTAGGTTTTTTACATTTAAGGAGTGAAGTGTAGACATTGTAGGCTGTAGAAGGTTTGCTTATGATCAGAGTTTTCAGTTAAAGCGTAGGTCTGGACAGAGGTGCATAGCTTGAAGCCAGGCAAGATGGATTCTCATGCAAAATTTCAATAAAAAGACCAAAGCAAGTATTCTCTGTGTTGCCAAAGTCTGATATATCTTATTCCTCTGATACACCACCACTAAAAACACTACTAAAAACATATCAGTTTGCCAAACTGGGTTCCTTCATTATGATGAACATGGAAACTGAAGATCCCACATAGGGGTGGGTGGATCAATAAGTGTTGTTTTGAATATTAATAGTAACATTAATGGGATTATGTACAATTAAAACTGTCTTGTTGTTTAACATGCATGTGATTAAGTTATTAACAGAGTATGGTAGCAGAAATGCCTAATGTTCAGCAAATCACTCAGTGTCAATAAAAGCATTTATTCATAGCCCTGTTAGCGATGCATTAAACTCATGAAACTGCTTTTAATATTTACAAGCATCAGATCAATACTGGCCACATACATTATCCTGCTGCTGTAAATATGAACTATAAGTGTATGAATCTGCAATAGAAAACAAACAGTGTCCAGCTGGAAAGGAAATTATTTAGTTTTTTAAATAAATTAATCTCTACATTTGTTTTGTTTTTTGGATTTATGTCTCCTGTAGAAACCAAAGCAGGACGGACAGTAGACTATGAGACGGATTATCACACTATATGTTTTCTTTTCATGGGATTTGTGGACAATAAGAAAAATCTAAAAGTAGGCATAAATTAGGGTAAAAAAAGTTACACTTACAGCAAAGTTTAGAAGAAACGTCTCCTCCACATCACCTCCTTCATAGTCTAGAAGTTGTTGTAGACTCCTGCAGAAGAATGAACAGAAGGAGCAACAACATTAACATGACAGTGGGAAAAGCACAAGCTAATAATTTTATTAGAGTGGTTAAAGAAACAACTAATAAAATAAAAGGCTAGAAACACCATAATTAAAAATGTTCACATGTTGGACGCCATGAGGTAAGAAACTAATTTCATATGAAAAACAGCCTCATGTATGGTTGACGACTTAGCTGTAATAATACCTTCTTCATTTCAGAAATATCTGTGGGATCGTGATTCTGTTTTTTTCTACCTTATCAGACAGTTTATTACATTCACCTGACGTGCCAGGTTTTAATCTGTCCCTGTTTGACTTTTAAAATGAAAACGAGGGATCAGCTGTGCCTGTGCTACAGCAAACAGATAGGGAACACCCAAAATTGTCTGTTAGAAGTGGTAAAATATTAGCTAATAATACCATAGGAAATTACTCAGAGGGAGTGTATCGTGTTTGTTTTCCTGCAAAGAACAAGCGGGATATTTGTTAGCAAAACTCAGGAAACACAGAGTGGGCTGGCAAAGAAAATTATATACCATGGCCTTATAATTTGGCCCTAACTACTGAGCTGAGGTCACTTTACAATAAAAATACTTAAAATACTGAAAAGACAATACAAATGAATTTAATCTCAAACAATTTAGCACTAGTGCATTTTACACATTTATTTAAACACTGTTTTATCTCTTCATTGGCAGTGTGAGGTAGCCTGTGTGCTTTTAAGACAGTCAAAATAAAAGTCCAGCATGTAAAATGTTTTTCGAGATCGTCGCCCTTTTGCGGTTGTGTTGTCTCTAATAGCAACAGTACAGGCTGTGCGGGCCCACTTGTAGCTTTCAGAGGACTAATCTCAAAATCAATACTCAACTGGACACAATCAGGCACTGAGGAAATTCTGACCCTTCCTGCTCTAAATTCAGTGAAGAGGCATTTCCCAGCGGCAGTCAGTTAAAAAAAAAAAAAAAAAGGTTATGTAAGCGAGTGACACATTGTTGTACCCTTGAAGAGTCTTTTTGTACGTGTGTTTGAGCACAGCAGGATTTGGGTCTGTTTTTTTTACACAATTTAGTTACATTTCTGCAATCTTTGAGGCTCTATTTGTTTCTCTTTAAAATGGACAGAACCAATCCCATAACAAGTTTCCAATTTTACACCACAAGAAAACACAACTGTATGCAGCAGGTGTAATGTCTAACACAAAAGCAAAGCTACCATCTGAGTGAATCTAAAATAGGGGGATATAGACATACGCCTCCCCTTTCCTTTAAAGCTCAGAGGACGTTACCTGGCCTCGGTGGGTGAGAGCTCTTTGAAGTCCTCCAGCGTCGGTGATACATCGAGCAGCTTCTTGTAGAGAGCCAGGGGGAAGTGGAGGTCCACCACTGTGGAGTTGTAGATGGCCAGACCGCAGATGATCCCGATCAAGTGAAACCAGTTCTGCTCAACAAAACACTGGAAACACACAAGAAAATTATTTTATCAATGCCTTTTCTTAATACTTCTCAGATGTAGCAGTCTTACATCTAACAAAACAAGTGGCTGTACATAAACATTCAATTAACAGACGACTCCACAAGCTTAAAAACATTTATTATTTCAAATAATAGATAATTTATTATTTAAATGATTTTTGAATTCTAGCCTGTTGGAGCTTAATGATAATTATGATACTATTTTTTAGCTGTTTTCAGCAAAAAAGCTGGACAACTGAAACATTTCATAAAAACATTGAAAATAATTGGGTAATTAATTCCATTTAACATGAGTTTTTGGTTTTAGTACAAACAAATACACAATTTAAATTTATGTTTTTAACAAATTAATATAATGAATAAAAGGTTATACAAAGCAGTTTGACCTCGCATAAACAGAGAGAGACAAAAAAGGGTCAATGATGATTCTGTTTCATTGCCAGATCACTAATGATTGGACTTAAGGAACTGGTGATGCTTAAAGTTCAGGGACACCTTTCCCTTACAGAGCAAAGTGTTTTGTAAACCTGAATGTTGCCACTGACATATCACTATATCTAATGTCAGAAACAGCAGCTCTTATTGGAAAATATAGCTGCAGGTTAAATAACACATTCTGGAGATCCATTATAGGCTTACTGCCATCACATATTAAATAAACAAAAGCATTAGAAGAAGCTTCCAACCAAAGTCCTAAAGAAAAGGTCATATGAGTTACTGAAATATTGTCTCAAAACTCTAAACGGCCTTTATAGTAACAGGTGGTAAATACATTTTGAGCTTTTGAATAATCTTCCAGGTGTATTATCTCTAACTCTGCATTTAATTGATGATTGACCTGTCAAACTGTCTCTCATCAACAAAGAGTGTAGAGGAATTCAACAAAAGATAAATTATCACATGACTGAAGTTCCATACTTGGGTCACATGGTTACAACTGAGCAAACAAAAGACTGTGAGATAAATTAACCTTGATATTTATTTCCCAAACTACTGTTTCACCCCGTAAATTTAAAAGGTGAGATCAAGGAGGTTCTGAACTACATCAAGCTGGATATTTGAACATCATTATCATGTGAACACAGTGTTGTTCTGCAGAGAAACTTACTTTGTCTGAGAACCACAACAGGTTGGACTCTTTGTAATGACTGAACATCCCATACACCGGATCCATCAGCTCCTTTAACAGCAGCAGGAAGAACTCTTTAGTTACTCCACCTGCATCAACGGCCTCCTCTCCATCAAAGATCACCTGGAGGAAGCAGATGAGAAGATCACAAATAGCAGTTTTGTGGAATAAGAATTGCTCCTCTACAGTGGCCTTAGACGTAGCTCTCACCTTGAGGGGTTTCTTGAGGTCCACATCAGAGTACATGGTGAGCTCACGAAGTGTGTCGCTTACTAGATGGTTCCTGCGCACATGGAGCACCAAGTAAGGGTTCCTAGCAAGGTGGGGTTCCAGCGTGAGCAGCATAAAGACATTGTGTAAGTTTGCACCGCTGACTGCCATCTTGGTAATGGTCACAGGTTGAGGTGGTGGTGGTGGTGGTGGTGGTGGTGGTGGGGGGGGGGGGGAGCAAGAAAAGAGACAAAAAGATTTTAATTAATTAAATAAAACCTTCATCGTTAAACCAACACCGGTGATCTAAGCTGAAAAAGTGACGTAACGGCAGGTACCTGCATTTGCAGTTCAGCATCTGTTTGCAGCATCGTTGTCTTGGCTTGAGCGTTCAGTATGAACGGGTAGGCACAAAGGTTCACTGAGGGAAAATCACTCTGCAAGAAAAAATAAAGGAAATATTTACTACGAAGATAATTTTTAATTAAGAAGGGTGAAATGATGTGTAATTAGTTCAAGCTTTAAATCAAGTACCTGTGAAGGGGAGGATGATCCCACTTTCTAGAAAACAAAATGAGAGAGAAAACAAATTAATTTGAGCTGACTTTAAATGAAACACGATTAACTTAGAAACTTATTGGATAGCAAGAGCTGACAAACAGCAACACACCCGCAAGCAGGAGGGATAAAATTTCACACTGTCTCTGCAGACACTGAGAATGACATGAGTTAAGAGAGTGTGTGTGTGTGTGGGTGTGTGGGTGTGTGTGTTTGGATACAGCAGATGTCAAGTAACAAGGAAGTGAAACATTGCCAGAGAAAGTCAGCACTCACAATCTCAGCTTTACTCAGAAACCATTTGAGGTAGTCTTCCTGGATGTCCACCAGGCTGGTGATGTCAGGGATATAAAAGCGGCTGTACTCCACATGGCGGGCCTTTAAGTTTACCTGGATACATGGAACAAACACCTGCCTCAACTCCAGGAAATGTCACAGGTACAGTACACAGCAGTCTACAGATTAGGAGCAGGAAAAACAGACTGTAACGAGGGACGATGCAGAATTGATTAAGTTGTTTACAGAAGCAGTGGGTGACCTGTGTGAATACCTTGTGGAGTTTCTCCAGCAGCCTCAGAGTGGCAACGAAATAGTTCTCGTAGAACACCGGTACGAGCAGCGTCTTGCCTCCCGTTAGCATGAACACAACGATGCTCTTGTACATGTCGACCATTCTTATGAACACACTGTCGTCAACAAAACACCACCAGTTATCTGCAGGGACAGAGAAAAAGGTCACATTAATTTATACTGTGGTTGTTATACTGTGGTTGGCTGAGTTTCTTCATTGATCCGACAACATTGTTTAAACTACAGATCTGTTTAACGGTGTAAATATCGAGTGTTCTCGCAGATTCACGCATGAACACTGTTTGTTAGCATGTGGCTTCTGCACATGGACAATAAACATAAAAAAGCATAGTCCATATACTGAACGTATATTGGATTCGTAGGTCCGTAAGGGCATCGTTATGCTTCAAACAAAGTTATTGTCGGATGTTCTAACAGGATCGGAAACACCCTCCCCGCCACATCGGTATTAGGGGGTCTGCGTCAGATCCCGACAATCCAACATCCATGCAGCGACTGGCCAGGTGTGCAGAGGTGGGAAAGTAAGCAGGGTTTCAACTTCTCTAGCTCTCTTTTCTCACCATTCACACAATTACTTCTCACACTTGAAGGACTTTGACCAGCTACCAACTACACTGTAGTGAAGAGAACTGATTTTCCCAAATATCAATATCAGTCTCAAAACTCTGTCACCATCAGGCTGCTTCCTGTTTGGGGATGTTACCCCTTGTTCTGGAACCATTTCATTGTTTGGTGGCAAATCTTACAAATCCCCTGTGATAACAAGCTACGTACAGATGACTTAGGTGGATATGGATGAAGATGCTGACATACTTTAGATGACGAGTCATGTGGTGTGATGTCACATGGTGCCACTGGGTTTGACCGGATGTTCTTTGTCATCAGCTACCAAAGGCGATTTCAAATGACTTGACTGGCATAAAAAATTTAAAAATAAAAACTTGTGTGTGCATGCAAGTATGATACCCAATACTTTGCTGGGGTTGGCGTCTAGCCGGAGGATAGCCATTGCCAGGGGGATAGTGAGGCGGATGTAATTCTTGGAGTCCAGCAGGGCCGGGTACTCAGACAAGATGAGATAGATCCTCATGGCCTCAACGTCAGGAGGGGAGCGCGGCAGCTGAGGGATCAACAGACTCTCAAAGCTCTTGGTGGCCTAAACAGAGGGTTGGACACAGAAAGACGGAGGAGACGTATTGTGTATGTAAGTACACACATCAAAGAAACAATATTTACTGTTGGAGAAAAGAATTTGAGAGTGTACTATGACATGTTTGAAAGCTACACGTATAAATAAATAAAGCAGACAAATTTATGGGATATTTTTTCAATACAGCTTGGATCAACTTGGCACCAGGGGAAATATATCAGTCACTAAATTTTGGGAGAGGCTTTTAGTGGTTTGGAAGGAGGCCTCGGTATCCACACAGATTATAATTCATGTCGGTTTGAGGTGCATGAACCCAAAACCTAACATTACTGAGCTAATGTTAGAGGTTATGACTCAGTCCTGCAGTTTGTGCCATGGATCTGCAGCAGGACTTGATGTACTTTCAAAACAAGTCTGATATTCACATACAAGATGTTTTTTTTTACAACCACAAGCAACATAACCAATGCAGTGCAACATCCCAATGTTCCAACTTTAACTGCTTCATTACAGGGACAAAAACACAAACAGGGAGCTCATTTGTCACGTCTTTAGTCATGTCAAGTTTTTTTTTTTTTTCCAAATGTGAAAAAAATCACTTCCTACTGTGTGATATTCATAGACACTAATGGCTCTAAAAATACTTTGCATTTGTGAATTGTTTTAGATATAAAATGAAGAGATTTTTAAATCGACAGAATCCACATTGCTTAAAGTGAGACACTAGGGGTTTGAATTCATTCATTTTCTGAGATTCTCTTAGGTCAGTTGCTTTATACCCGCATTCACTGATATTTTTTGGGCACTTGAAGGCAGTACACAAAACATCTGATTGTTGATGTGGTGGACGTGTTCGCAAACAATTACCTACTTACACATCCAGCGCCATTAGCAGAGCAACATTAGCATTCATTTGGAGTCCACCTGATGACTGGAAGATACGCAGTCTCCATTAGCTCTGGTTCGGTCTCCATCAACGCCTGAGGGAAATATCTGGCTCTTTAGCTGCTAAATGCTCCACTTTGTTCACCAGCTAGTCGCTAACTTTGTCTGTCACTTAGTGCTGGGCAGGTGGCGTTTAGTGGATTTATCTTACTGGTTTATTGTGGTTTTTGTTTTTTCTAAAAAAAACAGAAAAGACATTGACAAGAGCTAAAACAGTCAAGTTGTAGGCTGTAAAACCAAAACAATGACCTGAAAGAGGATAAAACGAGCAACATCTTTCACATAACATGCAGTCATTTCACATTTGACTCATTGTTAATATAAAAATAAAGATTAGTGAAGTTTTAAAGACATCAATATTAGGGGACTAAGTGAAGTGTTGTTTATTATTTTTTTTTATTTGTGACAGGAAGATTGAGGTATTTCTCCTTTAGAAGGTTACTTAGTCTAACTATAACAGGACACGTAGTGGGCATTAAAGCTGCATTCACAAACTCTACCTTTCTGTATTAGTAGTATTTTCACTTGAGGTCAGATAAACAAAAAGTGAGAAAGTAGGAGGCATTATAAACTAGGACTACATGTTGATGTCCTTGTCCAAACCTTGAAACTGGGTTTGAAGGATAAATATAAAATATAAATGATTATTACCACGTATACATACATTTTATAAATACACTATTCGATGTCAATACCTGCTCCAGAAGTCCAGAGAAGGCCGGTCTGCTGAGCGTCTCAAAAAGCATTCTGACAGAGTTAAGATCGATGCCTGGGATCTTCGGGTTGGTTTTGAAGTGGGTATCATCACTGAGAAAGCAAAGAAACATATGATGTGTCGAATACCTACGGTGTGTCACTGATCACAAACAGGATATAAATAGGTCAGAGCTCAGATTCAGGGACTTTGTGGTAAAGCCTCAACGTGAAAGTCACTGGATTAAACAAGTCTATTCTGACCCATCATGTGGCGGATCAGCTGTGAGCCAAGTTCACTGAATGGTAGATGTGTTAATTCTCAACACTCACATGCATAAACACACACAGAACACACAACTTAAATGTATTTAAGTCAATCCCTACGCAGATCTCCTCTTCAACCTGGGAGTGAGTGACTGATAAACATGCCTGTACAAAGCCAGCATGAAGGACAGCAACTATTTACAGTGTGAGCCTTCACATTCTTACAGCACAGGTTTTATTTAGTCATAACACAAATACATCAGATTTGATCTTTTTGGAGACTGTTTGCCAAACAAAAAACACTGATGCAGATAGTACAGCCCGAGTATGAGCACTGACCCACTTAATATTGAGAACCAGATGTAGGTTCCCCAACCACAGTTTATTAACGATATTTAATATTTTTGCCGACCGTGTTTGAACATGTTATACAATTTTACTGATGTATTAATGTTGTATTTTTTTTCTACAGTTCCAGGCATCAATTGCTTTCAATTAATTTCCATTTGGTGTAGAAATCAGTTGGCAAATTCTTGAAACTTACAACAAGTCTGCATACATTTGTCTTACATCATCATTGCATGGTTAGATTTCTAAACACAGATTAATATGAAAGATTTGCTAATGTGTGATGGATTACACAACTCAAGCATGTTTCATTAGTCTACTAATTATTTCTCATTCTGTATATAAATACAGTGGAAAACATCCATTTCAATTTTTAAAACATAACGTGTGGTTTGCTAAATTGTTAGCTGTAATGTAAAGTACTGTGAGGGTCTTTTAAATTACAAGTTAATATAAAACTCAAAGCTATGGATCTACAGGCTTGGCTCGAAGGGGCACAGTACATAGTCATCCTTAGTGTACTAACCACAGACTGTAAGACTGATTTCATCTCATTTCAAGTACTTTTATAGTCTGAGCAAATCTGTCTAAATGTAACTGTGGTAGTGATAATTTGACTATTTTAAGTTTGACAGGAGATCTAAGTGATAGGTATCTTTATATGCAGGTTTGATCGACAGAGCACCAGCTCCATTAAAAGATACTTCAGGATCAGACCAAGCGCAAATTTAAAACTGTGTCATATCAAAAAGATTTATTTTATTACATCGTAATAAGTAGATTCAATTAGTTTTTTGTCCAGTGTTTTGTTTTGTGTTTTGTTTGACAAGGTCTTTGTCTGTTCACTTAAATTTGTTTTCATATGTGTAGGTATACACCTTCTTAAAAAGGTCCACTGTGTGACATTTAGGAAGATCTATTAGCGGAAATTGAATATAATATTAATAGGTATGTTTCATTTGTGGTCACCTGAAAAAAACCAGGAAACCACTTTTATCTACAGACGCTGCGGGTCACCTTCCATGGAGTTCACAATGTTGAACTGCCATGTTTCTACAGTAGACCAGAAGGGGCAAACCAAACTTTCACGGCGACCGTAGACCCTACACACTTCACAGCCCATTCTCACTCCCAGGTCGTCAAATACAGATGCCAGCAATGCTCACTTAGTTGCAATCTGCATCCTCACCCCTAGATGCCACTAAACTGTCAAATAAATATAATGGAGTAAAAAAATACAATATTGTCCTCAGAAATGAAGTGGAGAAGTATAAAGTAGCATCAAAAACTACCTCAAACCTAAGTACAGCACTGGTTTAATGGCAAAACTGGTTGATAGTTGGTTTAACTACTAATTCCTGGTGAGTTTGAGTGGTTTCTGCAGACAGTATTAAGTACTTCATGTTGTCTCCAGAGGTCTGTTTTACACCCTGATGGCCTCCACAGTTCATTCCTTGGACACGATAAGTATCTGCTGACGAGTCTGTACTATAAAGCCATCTCACCTACACACAAACAGACTGATGGTCGAACAAATATGGAGTTTCACAAATAGCAGTGACCAGACAGATAGCATCGTTCCCAGCCCTGAAGAGCAGCATGTTTTGTTGGATAAGACAACATACCATGATAGTAGGTGACAAGAAAGTGGACCCTGTGAGGTCCATGCTGATTCAGTTCTCAGGACTCTTGCTTACATTAGTCTGTGCACTCAGACACGTTTTTTGGTTGCCCAACATGCATTTCTATTCTATTTTATTTGGGTGTACACGCAAACCAGTATGATGAAATGTGAATGACTTTAATGAAATTCCTTGAAATGAAATCTGGAAGTGCAATTAGATTTTTCCTAACTTGCACCAGTTCGATATTGTAGTGACTTGTTGTGTGGAGGAGAGGTTCAGTGGGGGTTTGATGTCAAGCATGAGTGCAGTTTGTACCATCTGTAACCTGCCTGGGCCAAGTCCAAAGATCCTGTGCATGTGCTCTGCTATTCTTGGCAGAACACATGGTGACAGACCAGGTACCAGTGTACAGGAGTTGAGTGCTTAGTTACTTTCCACCGCTTAAAACCCTTTGTAGTAATACATGCCAACACGGTGTTTATGTACCTTTGGTCCAAGAAGCTGGCGTTCCAACAAGCCGTAGAGGAGAGTTGAATAATGATGTCACTGTGCATTAAAACATAAAACGCTTTATGGTGAAAAATGTTTGACAAACAAATATAGATCTGAAAAAATTAATACTAGACATCTACAAGAGAATGAATATTTTACAGTACAATCTAAAACATTTCAAATAATAACTTTAATTATTTAACTTACTTTGTGACACTAGAGTCCGTGCTGTACATCAGCTTTTGCCTCCATGAGTTTAATCTTTCATAATTGATTGGGGAGATTGATTTACTGATATTAATCACTCTGAAGTCTTCGGGGGGGACATAACTCTGCAGAGAGGAACATAAACAGACAAAACATTAACAGCGCTGTCACAAACATTTAGAAATTGTTTTTACTGGTACTTCCAGTGTGTGTGTGTGTGTGTGTCAGGTCAGCACAAAGACATTTGGGCTTCAGTCTGGGCTGTGTCTCTTTCCTCCATGAAGATAAAATAAATGGGCCACGCCTGAGGTCTAAATATTTTTGCTGTGGAGGCTGAATGTGTGTTATGTCTTCATCAGTTCACATTCCTGACAGTTTGGAGGATATTTGTAGCAGACGATCGCTCCACATACAGTATAGCTCCAATATAAGAGCTGTTAAAAGCTTAGACATTAATGCCCCCCTATGGTAAAACACTGGAACTGATTAAATAGAAAGTAACAAAAAAAAAAAAATGTATTTGGGTAGTACATATTTCTATTTAAGCTGCATATTTTGAAATAGCTTTGATCAGTATTTTTTGTGTTGTAATTATGATGAGGTTAAGGGTTGAGGGTTTAGTGCAGGTGTTATGGTTAGAGGATAGGGAATAAATACATTTAATGGAACGAATAATTTAAGATGATACAGTATGTGTGCAGATAAATCCCAAATGTACGTTAAGCTGCAAAAATGATGCATGTGATAATTGTGCTTTGAATTCTGTGAAACTGCAAAAACTGAGAGGAGTGACAGCAAATAATAGGATAACTGTCAGAAAATGCAAAGATTATAGATGGATCTATTGTCAACCGTTGAAAATAAAACAATAATAATAATAATAATAATTCAGGCAACAAGCTTTAGAGAGAAGTTTAAAAAAATCTTAATTACATACCTGTTCATTAGTGTACAATAAGAAACTATGGTCTCCTCCACAGATGATTTTGGTCACTGCATATTGTTTTGATTCTAATAAAGAAGGGAAAGAGAAACAACATGTTAGCTGGACTATATCTTATAACAGGTATACAATGTCTAGCTTTTTGATCATACTGTGAATTTTACTGCTGATACATAGTTATAAAGGATAATATATCGTGGATGCATCAAGCAATGATCAAATATTAAGTAAATATTATAAGTCTCCAGGTTAAATTTGACCCACTAGATTATATTACCAGCAAAAACTTTCACATCACAAGCTGACATCTGATATTTCCAATAACACAAACTACGGTGGATTTTATGGGAACAGTTTCGTTGTTTGTGTAGGTGCTTTCCGTGTGGCTTTCAATGCAGTTTTTTTAGTATTTCAGCTGCAGTTATACCCTTGTGCATCAACATTGCCACACCCAGCATGACAGTTAAGTACTTGAAGCTCATCCATCACTAACTGGACATTTCTCTTTTATATCTGAGTGAAAGCTGCATGGATGAATGTAAAGTGGCAATTCATTTGCATTCACAATGCATTCACCTACTTGGCTTATCTTTCATGCTGCAAATAATAAATCAAATACATTTACACAATATTCTTTCATCATGATCCTTTTGCTTTTCCTTTCTAGAAAAATAGGGAAAACACATCTAAACACATACTAGATAAGAACAAAAAAAAATAAATAGCCAGGAATCCCCAAAAACTCTTCTGCATACCTGTTCTGTGGAAATTTCCAGTCAGGAAACTGGCCTTGACAGGTAATGGACTTCTGGAATCCCCCAGGATTCCTGTGCCCAGCTGGCCATGGCCGTTACATCCAAACGCATACACCACACCAGTGCAGGGCACAAATGCCAACGTGTGGTGTCTGATGAAAGAAAAAGCAGTAGGTTTAGGAAGCAGAGGGACAGAACTAGCTTCTATACATTGAGTTTATTAGTTAGACCTCTACAGACGAAGTTATGCCAATTCAATGACAAGTTATCACAGAACAATACAACAGAAACAATAATTATAGCAACAACAATAACCTGCCACAGGTGATCTGGGACACCTCAGTGCCCATGAGTTCCAGCACTCGTCTGGGTAAAAGTTCATTATTGTTCGAGCCATGACCCAGCTGACCCCATGAGCCATCACCAAATGTAAACAAGCCACCATCCTGCCAGAAAGACAATCCAGTATGAGTTCTTATTGTTGAAGACAGATTCTTATCTTAGTAATGCAGTTATTCTGCTCTACCAATTATCTGGCAGCTGACCGAGCAGCAGCTAAAAAAAACTTGACTATTTAACATTTGGTGGCAACACGATATGCTTAAACTACGTGAACATTTTGACTAAAAAGCACATGTTGGAGTTTATCAATATTGATACCTTTGTGAGGGCTGCCGTGTGTTCATCTCCACAGCTGATGTGAACAACTTTTTGAGACCTCAAAAATTTGATGTGGCACGGGACAGCGCGATCTGAGGATGGGAACATAAACAAGCAAGGTCACACTGTTCTTCACTGCTAGTAGTTTAGCAAATAATTTGCAAACTAGTGGTTAGACTTAAGTGAACACGGCAACTACTGCACTTGAATCTAGTATTGTAGAGGCAGTTAATCAGTGACTGCCAGTACAATACTAGAAACAAAACAAAAAAACACTTCCTGTACACTGCTAAAGCAGGCAAAACATTGGACCAAGTGCCACAGATGATTTCTACCTTGTTTATCATTGAGACCCAGTTGTCCAGCTTTGTTCTTGCCCCAACCAAATACAGCTCCAGACAAGGAGAGAGCAAAGCTGTGGTCTCCCCCGGCGGTAATTTTTGCCAAAGGAATTCCTGCCAGAGACTTGAGGGGATGAGGGAACAGCTTGCTGGGCTCTCCTTTCCCCAGACCTAGCTGACCGCTGGTGTTCTGGCCCCACGTGAACAGCTGGCCATCTGAGAGTGAAGGGACAGAGAAGCAAAATGTACATCTGCAGTTACAACCAGTGCAGACAAATATACGACATTTGTTACTATCTGGATCTGTGACCCCTCATTCTGATGTATAGTCAAGATTTTAAAAATAACTGTGACAACACTGGGACCAATAACTCTAACATATATAACCATGTATAACATGAATCTGCAACATCCTCAGGTTTTTTTATATAATTTTGAGATAATCAGCCCATGCCTGCGATAATGAGGTGGATAAAAAAAAATGTCTGAACGATGTTAGCGCTCCCCCTTGTGAGTTTTGGAAAGGTGGTAAATGACAGCGAATCTAATCTAAAACCTTTACTGACTTGTGTTAAATATATATTATGTCATAATGTATAGAATAATGCAGTTGAATGATGTCTCTTCTGACATACGGTATCCCGCTCTCCCTTAAGTACCAGTCACATTCTGAAATTTAAAACATAACGATGTATTTTTCTATTTGATGAATTAATAAAAAGAACAATCTACAATAACATGTTACTGGCTAAGATAACTAAGTATATAAGACTGTAATGTGAACGGAATAATGGAAATATGTAGACATATCTTAGTTTTGATTTCGGCATTATATATTGGCTATTGGTCACCCTGCTCTCTAAATATCGGCCAATGAAAAACCCCATATTGGTCGACTACTAATTACATGGATACAAGATGAAGAAATGGTGTCTTTTGTACCTCTAGAAAGTGCAATGCAGTGCTGATTCCCACACATTACTTGAGAGATCCGGTGGTCACACAGCCTTTTGACCAACCTAGACAAAGCAGAAGAAAACATTTGAAAGATTCATAATTCTAAAGATTTCTCAGTGATGTTACTGATGCACAACAACATCACATGACATTTTATAACATAAAATCATGAGATTGTCTAAGGGTGATTAGTCAGTTTTTATTTTTGTGAAAATATCTAACTCATATTAAAGTAGTCTGAGCTCAACTGCAAGACCAGCCCCTAAGAAACTATGTTTCATTCATAAAAGTTTAGTGGCAATTAAAACCAATCTAACTAGCTAAATAAATTAATAAAGTAAGACCATTTTTCAAATTAAAATTTCGTAGAATCGTTTGTAGCATTGTTTTTTTTTTGGATGCATGGGTTACTTCAAATTGAACCCTGTCCTGTCTTTAATTTCTCCTGTCAGGCTAAACGCTTGAATTTCTCTAAAGTGTGCAACTCAGTCACCTTGGGATTCGAATAGCCGCCTCCACAGAGCCCAGGCCGAGCTGTCCGCCTTCACCAGCTCCCCAGGCAAACACCTGACCCTGCTCATTCACCGCCATAGAATGGGCCCGACCGCACGACACCATTGTTATCTTCTGAGTATCCAGAGCTCCCACCAGCTCTGCGGAGAGAAGGAAGAGCTTGTCAGATGTCAGCAGCTTCATGACAAAAAAAAAAAATACATCACAGTATGTACAGCCTTGACTTTTTATTGCAGGTGCTGTAAATACTCCTTTTACAAAAGGCAACATGGTTCATTTACTTCACTGCTGTTTCATTTTCAAGCTACCATCTCATCTGGTACGCCCTAGCCTGGAATTCATTATGCCCTAAGAGACCCACTCCATGTAAGGCATTTAGTGTGGGTATTTTATCTAATATTTTGTACTGCTCAAACTTAGGTTTGTGCTGTATGTAACAGAATAACGCCTGAGATTCATTAGCTACAAACGTATAAAACTAAACTAAAAATCTAATATCTATTATTATCTATTAAAATGACTCAAGTGACAAAACATCCCTGTTGAATAATCTAGATCTGTTACTGAGGATTTCTAGGTATGCAAGAACCTTCTATTGAATAGGCCTATGTGTCTGCTCAAGGTGCAGTGAGTCTTTTATTCACTGTTGTTATAGCTTCACCCACATGCCTATACCAAGTAACATACAATACAAACTTCCACCCACCACTGTCTGCAATCACTTCACAACCACAGTTTCATCCATTAGTAATGGATATGTGGTTAGTAGTGCAACAGAACCAATTGAACCCACTCAGAAATGGAGGCACTTTAAAATAATGTACATGTACTGATACTGTTAAAGACATTTTATGCATGATACAACTAAATAAAATCCATAAAATGTGAAAAAGAAGCCACATTTTTGCTTATGCTTTGTCATCCATGTCTGGTGATATCTAGCAGCTGTAAAACAAGAGCAACTGAACTTGTTAAGACCTGCACGAGACATTTCACTGCGTTTTCAGGCAGCTTCTTCAGGTTCACACAAAGACGATGGATCCACGGCAACATGAGATATTCTCACAAGGGTGTAATACTACCACAGCAAGTCCAGCTGCCACTGCTACGTAATAACTCTTTTAGATTTATATGTTTTTATATATTAATTAACACCAAGGAACAAAACAGAAAGTCTACAGCCTTGCCAGTGGCTCTATGAGGCTGACTGTGTTACTAAATGCACATCAGCGTGCTAACATGCTCACAATGTCAATGCTACCACGCTGACGTTAAGCAGGTATAATATTTACCATGTTCACCATTTCAGTGTGGCACATCAGCATGCTAACGTTTGCTAAGCACTGCACGCAAAGCACAGCTGAGGGTGAGGGGAATGCTTTTAGTTTTGTAGGTAAATAGTCATTAAGCATAGTACCGGACAAAATGAAATGACCTGATGATGGCGCTAGATAAAAGGTCATAGGATCAATATTATAACAATCCTCTGGGAACCAGAAACATCGGAAACCAAATTTCACGACAATCACACGTTTTTTGTGCAGGAGATCGCCAAATAAATGACGACATTGTCTGGAAACTATGAATGAAAATGTTGTGCCAATCCATCTTGTGGATGTTAAAATATTTCACTAAATTAGTAGTGAACTAGAGGAAAAGTCTGAGGAAAACCAAATTAATTCGTATTTAGCATTTTGGAACCTTGAATATCTGTATTAAATTCCACAGAAATCCACCAAAGAGTCAATCTAGTAGAATCAATCCACTGTGGTCCATGAACGTTTGTTTAAAATTTCACAGAAGTTCATCCACTAGTTGTCAAGACATTTTAATCTGGACCAAAGTGGTGCACCGACTGACATTACCATCCCTAGAGCTACGCCACTAGCACACTGGTCAATACCAGTGAAGAATCTTTGCCATCACACCAAGCAGTACCAATACAGACAGCCTTTGTAATCACACCATATTATATCCACACACATTGTTTACACACACCTACTGAAAGTGGTGGTGGAACAAACTGTAATGATTGCCCAAAGGTCAGCCTCTCACTTGAATGCTTACCTGGGGGAGTCCCTGGTTTGTCGTGGCCCAGCTGTCCACAGCTGTTAGAACCACACGTGTACACACTACCATCATGCAGCAGGAACATTGAGTGTTGCCCTCCACAGGCGACCTCTTTCAGTCCCCTGCCGCTGAACACATGACAGTTCCTTGGCTCAAACATAGGGTTCCTCTCCACACCAATACCCAACTGTCCATCCTTTGCGTTCCCCCAACACAGCATGTTTTCGAAGAGAGAGGGAATGAGCACCGATCTGAGATAGTGACGGCCAGATGGAGGAAGATGGAAAAAATGTTCAGGCTTGAGAGTAACCCCGCTTTCTCCTCTTCATGTAACTTCCAACCCTGGAAGACACAAAAAAAAAACAGAGTAATTATGTCATCTTCCTTTATTCGGAGCACATACCGATTACTGTGCTCCATGTGTGAATCCCTGATGTTTTGAAGAATGAAGTAAAGATGGGTTTAGAGGTGGGCGTGGCTGTGTGTGAGAATGATGTAATCCGTATGACAGAGGAACAGGCAGTGTGTTTAAATAAACCCTGTCAGTGTAATCCCAGCTTAAACAGCTCCAAGCGATCCAATCCACAGGCAATACATGCATGTTGCCGACTGAGTTAGCCAAGGGTAATAATAAACAAATGGATACAGAACACAGGACAGGTAACAGCCGTATAGAACCAGCCACCAAACAAATTCATATCAAGGACAACCACGGCACGACACCTGACCCCAATACCTTTATGAATGTTATTATTGGACGAGAAACTATTAGTTGATTATTTTTTTTAGTCCTCTATAAAAATAAACAATATATATTTCAGTTTTAGACCTAGTCAGACCAAACAATCCACTTGAAAACATTAACTTGAGCTCTGGGAAATTGTGATGGGCATTTTATTGTATTTGATACACATCTTAATATTGTAAAAAATTTGTAAAGCACTTTGTAAATGCTACAAAATCAACTTAATGATCATTAGTAGTAGTTGGGCTGCAACTAACAATTATTTTCACTGTCGATCATTTTCTCCATTAACTGATTAGTTGTCTGCTCCAGAAAATGTTGAAAAATGTTGATGCCTGTTTCCTAAATGCCACATTTGAGAAGCTGAAATCAGAAGATATTGACAATTTCTGTCAATCAATTAATCTATTATCAAAATAGTTGGTGAAATTATTTAATAGTTGACAACTAATCGACTAATCGTTGCCCCTGTAATCAGAAGCAGTGGTATAATGCAATACAACCAAGTGTGAACCTGAATACAGCTCAACAGCACAACAATCTACACCCTCTGAAATGAATCAAGGTCTCTCTAAAGTTAATCTACGGTTTCAGCGAAAACTGAACATTGTAACCTTCACGAGGGAAGGTAGGCTGCTGTATTAGACTGCATTATTTTTAGCTGAGTGTACCTACTAACCTGACAAGTGGGTGTATACTGAGAGAGTGGAAGAAAATACTGAAAATGAACTGTTAGACCACAGTAAGCACATGGCCCTGACAGGGTTTGCACTCTATTAATCAAATCCCTTTCCAGGACCTTTTCCAGGAGGTTTACAGGACATCACTATATGAGGCTTACAAGTGGTCATATAGGCTGCAGTTTGGGGCAGTTTACTACATTAATTTGTCCACAGCCCTTAAATAACAGTTCAAATCGGGTAGAAATTATTTTGTTTTACAGAAAATTCACCCTCTAGAAAGTTTAAATGTTCATTTCACGTACAATTAACATCACTGTGCATGTATTTATCAAAGAATTGACACCCTTTGCATCTGGTAAACCTCAATAAATACAGTTTATCCTACCAACAGTGAAGTTTCAAACATAACACACACCCAGGTTTACACAAGTGATCTGAGCGAGGGGCTACAATGCAACAAAAACAAGACAACATACATTATTTCCAGGATAATTCATTTCCAGGTGTTTCCATGACTGGAAAACTAGACTCTTTGGCTTTTCCAGGTTTTCCAGGACACGTGTGAACCGTGCCCCGGTTAGTAAACACTAAATCAAAACACTAATAACTCTATTATATCTCATAAACAGCCTGCTAACTTACAACGCCACGCCTTTATTACCTGTGGACTTACTAGCAAACATTGCAAGCTATGCTAAGCTAGTAGCGTTAACTGTCTGTTTTTCCTCTGTGTGTGTGTGTGTGTGTGTGTGTGTGTGTGTTTGTGTGTGTGTGTGTGTGTGTGTGTGTGTGTGTGTGTGTGTGTGTGTGTGTGTGTGTGTGTGTGTACCTTACACGGTCCAGCCTCAATCATCTGTAAGGACATGTATTTTGAGGTTACGTTAGCTTGCTTGCTGCCGGGGAGAAAGTGAAGAGGAGCGGCCTGGGTCTGCGTTGTGGAGATGAAGATGAAACACAGCTAAATACCTGAGCTTGACGTTAGCTAGCTGGATCAACACTTTCAGTAACGGGACCAAGAACCGGAACCGTCTGTTGACCCAAACCAGCCGTCGATGCGGTTAACGGTCAGCTAACTAACCTTAGCAAGCTACAGTGTCGATGACTGTCAGTATTATGGCTAAAAATAAAAATAAATAAAATAAAACAAAGCAGAAATCCACTGACAAACCGATGTGTCGTTTGCAGGCACAGCGATGTCGCATTATAACTGCTTCGTCCCTCATTAAAATGGCTCTTTACCTGGACAGACGCATGCTGTTGTCGGTCGTCCGGTTTCGGTTCAAGCTCAGGAAACAAACTAGGAAGTGTCACAGCTGCCTACGTCACTGGACGTTAAGGGGCAGAGGCGCTGATGACGCCGACGTTGGGTTCTGATTCGAAGCTTCCGATTCGGCGGTTAAGGGGGAAATTTAAGGGGAGATTTTTATTTTTTTTTATCTTAACAGCGCCGTAAATAAAAACATGACAAAATCAAATACAAATTAATTTATGTGTGTAGGTTTGCATTATTTATTTGTTATTTATTCCAATGGGACAATATGCAGCTTTTTAGCTACACCAGAGTTAGCTGTAAGCTAATTTACATGTGCACATTTTTACTAACATTTTCAACCCAACTAATTTAAGTATGTATGTGTGTATTTAGTGATTTAATTGTTATTTATTTCATTGGGACCATGTACAGCTTTTTAGCTGCACCAGAGTTAGCTTTTTTCTTATTTTACATGTGTGTTAGCATGTTAGTTTTGAGGAGCATCAGTCCGTAAGTACACTTATGTGTACATCATGTTTAGCGACCTACAAAGTTGCTATTTTTACACTTTTTTTTTCAAATTTGCATGTCATGACAAATGTACAAGGCTTTTATAAATATCTAAATCAGAATAAGCCATGAAATATGACAGAACTTCTTACCTGGTCGACGTTTGTGTATGGAGCTACCACTTGAATTTTCCCGCCATTCTGAATTGGCACCGTAGTGTGTTAGAAATTTCTGACACCACCATATGGTAGCGTAAGTACCCCATATACGTACCATAACACCCCCAATTCAGCAGTGAACACAATTGTGGACATAAGAGCTAAAAGGTGCTGTCCACGTATGTGACCGCTAAGCCCCAGGAGATTAAGGGAAGAAAAATTGGAATTGTAAATTAAACAATTGTCTAATCTATTAAGATGTTTTCAACGTTTTTCAAAAGGAAAAAATAACTTTTCTACTTTTGTTTTGAAGTGAGAAAGAATAGATGTCCATGTGGTGGTAACACTGAAAATTGGTGACACTGCTATTTATTTGCACTATGTCTGAATAAAGATTTCACAAATCTGAAACTGTGTTTTAAAGAGTATCTGGCCTCTCTGGGGTAATCTAGTCCAGTCCAGGTACAGTGGGTTTTTGATCTGGACCTGGTCCAACGTGGTCTAAATATGTGGGAAGACCAGTAAAATCTCCCCTTTTAGCATTTTGACAAGTAGAATAAAGTTTTCACAAATTTGAAAGTGGGTCTCATTCAGTGTTAGGGCTTTATCTAAAACTTTAACAACAGTAAGATGAGCTAAAAAAAAAAAAAAAAAAAGGATCGGTCGTTCAGCACTGTAAATTAAATCTCCCTTAAGTTTACCCTTAACTACCGAATCAGAAGCTTCGAATCAGAAGCCAACTTCAGCGTCGTGGAGAAGCTCCGATTGGTCCGCCTTACAGGAAGAGCAGGTGTTACAACAAATCCTGTGACCCATCACATTCTGGGTGATCTCAGCCAACGTTTCTCTATCTTTCTGTATCATATCCTGTATTTTGATGATGACTCATGTAGTGTAAAGGAAGCTGAAAACTGTAGCAGCATTAAAACTCAAATCTGCATTTTCTTGGGGGGGGTAGAAAATGTGTTATTACTGCCAGAGTAGGGCTGTGAGTCTATGACTATGTGTGGACATTAATATCCTTCTTGAAACTGATGTATGTATCTGTCTGATTGAATATTTGTAATCTTCTTGTTAAATTTCTTCACAGATGCAGGAGCAATTGATGGCACTGGTTTTGACTGATCCAGTAGGAAATCGATCATTTCGAACAAACATCTAGGGTTATTTGGTTGGCATTTGGAGGAGCATTAATATTAAAATATATTTATCCCTTGTCGGTGGAACTAGTAATAAGTGTAAAAAGTGCTTTATTTTCCCCTGAAATTTTGTGTAGCAGCAGTATACAGTAGTATAAGTACAATACTTGAGTAAATGTATTTAGTTACTAGCTCTGTATGTGTTTTGAGCAGCATGAGATGTACTATAAGCCACTTATTATTTGTTTGTCTAGCTTTAACTGAGTGGATAGAAGAGTGAGGATGTTTTCCTGTATGTTTTTAAAAAAAAATCTAAATTACATTACATTTACATGCTGAAGAAGCTTATAGGATAAGATAAGATAAGATGTACCTTTATTGATCCCCCGTAGGAGAAATTCAACTTACACACAGCAGCATAGGAGAATGTAGTGCGGAGATTACAGAAGTGGAAGTACAATAAGATATCACAAAATAAGAATATTACAAAATATAATAGAAAATACTAACTATAAATGAAAAGTATATACACTATATGCAATATGCAAGTAAAAATGGTGTGCGGAAATTTGAGCTGAACTATGTGAAGATGACCGAAGGGTTTTGGATGACTACATCCAATAATAGTTGCAGTTCAGGTTGGGAAAGAGACGATGCAGTAACAAGGAGTTCATTATGCCAAGGTATGTGTTGGTTTCAGCCAAGTTACATCATGCTTCAGGGATGGAAAAATATGTTGTTTTCTTCACAGAGGCATCCGTTTACAGTAACATTATTACAGTCTACTAGTAAACAGGGCATTAGCAGCTGGTTAAAGAGGAACTAGGACATGTTTAGACCCAGAAGAACTAGTAGGAACAAAATGAAAGGTATGTATGAGAAACTAAACACGTTGAGGGAAATTCACATAATGGTATCCATCGCTACAGCGCCCTTCTACATCACACCCGTCTCTGATTGGCTGCAGAATGCCAAAGTTGTCGATTCGTGATTGGCGCATACGGCTGTCATTAAACGTCTGTCGACCAATCATCTGCGCTGAACGTAGGGGGGCGGGGGGGAGGGGGGCGTAGACGTTCCCTGCACGCTGATTGGCGCGGTCACATCAGAGGCCTTGTTTGATAACATTGACGATTCAAAACACAGACGGGACGAGACGAAGGCGGCGGGTTTTCATTCATATCAACCACTTCTGTTCAAGAAACGGCCACGGATTTCATCGTATTAATACATCTAAGACATCAAAGGTATGTTGTTTTTGTTTTTTAGTTAACACACAGCCGAGGGGTTCAGGCGGTGGTCTCAGTGTTGTTGGACAAACTGCGAACTTCTTGCTGACTAGCCACGTAGCTCGCTAGTTAGCTAAAGATAGTTATGTAGCTAACGTTAGCTAGCTAGTTAACGTCAATGCCGCCGAAACCGAAAGGGAACTAACCAGGACGTTAGTGCAACAAAAATGTGATATTTAGGAGTATTAAAGTATAATAACTGAAACACGGACACACCCCATCTGACACTTGTGTTATATAATCTGCATACTGATGTATTGTTAGCGCCAGCAGCTAACAGTTAACCTACTGTTACTGCCTCTTGATGTTACACTACTGCACTCACTAAGTTGTGAATGCTGTTGGATGTGAATATAAAACATTTGTGATGCTTTTCAAGCGTTAGGCTGTTTGTAAACATAGGGATAACGCGGGGGCTAGTATCATAATATTATAAAAGTTTAATCACGATCAACACTAATTGCTTATTTTCATCGTTAAGATAGTTGACTAAAATTGATTGTATATGGAAAGAGTTGAGGCTTGTCGTGTCCTTTAGTTAATTGATTAAGATTTATGGTGCTGCAGCTAACTCGTCTTAGTTATTCGTTAATCACTTAATTGTTTTGTCAGATCTTAGAAAATAGTGACAATGTCCATCACACTTTCCCAAAGGCAAAGGATATATATAAATACTGGCCCGACCACCAGTCTAAAACCCAAAGATAATCAGTTTGTTATATTTAACAAAGAAAGGCATCAAATTCTATTATTCAATCCAGGAACCAGGAAATATTTGGCTTTTTTTTTGCTTGAGAAATAACTGGAACATTTAATCAGCTATCAGAACAGTTACTGATTAATTTTCTGTCAATCAACTAACCATTTCACATCTACTAAAGAGTTATTAATTAAGTACTGTGCATTTATTTCTTATTTCCTACAATCCTTAACCAGGCCACTGTTTTTAAGCACCTTTTGTAAATAAGTAAACGGTTTGCATCATATTAACCTGGTTATACCTTTTTGAGATTGCTGGAGGGAGGGGGGATTTTTAGTTTCAAGAGACCTTTATGGCAAACAACACAGGGTTGGTGCATGTCAGACATTCTGGTATGGTGGGCCCTGCTGATCAAACAAAAAAGATGTGTTGTAATAGTCATTAAAATTCCCCGTCTAGCCTTAACCAACCGATTTTCCCTCAGGGTTTGGACGGCAAATCCTTCTACCTCTGCATCCAGTGCTTCTCCAGTGTTTGTGCTGTTAGGGTGATGTCAGCGGCCTGTCTCATGCGCCTGGCAAGGTGCAGTGGTCTTTTACAGAAAGCCCCATTCCCATTCCAGCAGGACAGCCACCTCCAGTTCACAATCGTCCGTAGACAACTGTACAGCCCTTCAGGAAAACGGCACAGCAACACACGCTTTGATGCAGACAGCAGTGGCCGCCCCACTACTTGGGATTCATTTGGCATCTGGGACAATCGGATTGATGAGCCCATCCTGTTGCCTCCCAGCATTCGCTACGGCAAGCCCATTCCCAAAGTCAGCTTATCGAGGGTAGGCTGCGCCTCGCTCATTGGTCAACGCAAGGAGAATGAAGACCGCTTCCAGGTCTCCCAAATGACTGACAACATCCTATACTTTGCTGTGTTCGATGGGCATGGTGGGCCGGAAGCAGCCGACTTTTGTGAAAAGTACATGGAGAAATATATCAAGTAAGGAAATTAAGAGATATGCAAAATTAACTTTTTTTTTTACCGGCTAATAAATACTGAAATTTAACCAGTCGCTCAGTAGATTTGTTTGGTTTTTGTTAGAAAATCTGAAAGCCACTTGTTTATTTTTACCAGCATTTAGTTGATGACGGGTGCTAATTTTGTTCTGGATATGCAGTTATGACTTATCTATACTGTTCAATGTCACAGGAAATGAATTGAATGATTGCGAAAGATAAGTCATACCTTTT